CCCCCCCCCCCCCCCCCTCCTCTTTCGGATCTCTGTCCGATAGTCATGTTCCCTCGATGTACCTGCTGTACCCATTGTTTCATCAGTCACATGTGTCTCGATCTTGGCTTGCTTTTTTGTTAATGGGTCACTTGGTGCTATGAGCCGGAGGATCCAAACGAGATGGTTCAATATAGACACTTACCCCAGTGTCCAAAAACGGTCACCGAACCCCAACCATCATTGTTGTCAAATGTGGCATGCCGACTGAAGCTTCTGACAAGAAACCCGGTAATCGAGGAAAACGTGATTCCCAACTCATCCTTATGAATTTCTTCTCCCGAGTGACATACAACGACCGTATGTCTCCGCTCGACTTTGACATGTTTAGAAAGATCCAAACTCTTATAGGTGTCACTCCTGATTTCTTCGAACTAGTCCTCATGGTGGACGCCGATACGAAAGTCTATCCCGATTCTCTGAAACATCTTGTCAACGCGATGCATCATGATAATTCCATCATGGGTGTATGTGGTGAAACCCGAATAGCGAACAAACGACAAAGTTGGGTCACTGCTATACAGGTCTACGAATATTTCATTTCACATCATCTTGTCAAAGCTTTCGAATCCGTTTTCGGTGGTGTTACATGTTTACCTGGATGTTTCTCAATGTATCGAATCAAAGCTCGTAAAGATGCCGATGACGATTGGGTACCGATACTTGTGAAACCTGAAATAGTTCGAGAATATTCACAATCTGAAGTTACGACGTTACATCAAAAAAACCTTTTGTTACTTGGAGAAGATCGATTTTTATCAACTATCATGTTGAGAACATTTCCAAAGAGAAAAAACATATTTTTACCTCAAGCGAAATGTCGAACGGTCGCACCTGATACATTTTCAGTTTTATTATCACAAAGAAGAAGATGGATAAATTCAACAGTACACAATCTGATGGAATTAGTCAGAGTACGAAATCTCTGTGGAATATTTTGCTTTTCAATGCAATTCGTCGTATTCATGGATTTAGTTGGAACGGTAGTTTTACCAGTAGCTATTTGTTTAACATTCGCTTTAATAGTAAATTCAATCATTACACCACCAACATCATTTCAAGAAGCTATACCTTTAATGTTATTAGCAGCGGTTTTAGGTTTACCTGCTATTTTGATCTTGATTACAACTAGAAAAGTCATTTACGTAGCTTGGATGATGGCTTATTTGGTAGCTTTACCCATTTGGAATTTCGTTTTACCCATTTATGCTTTTTGGCATTTTGATGATTTTTCATGGGGAGAAACGAGAAGGGTAGAAGGTGAATTGAGAAGGGAAACTACGAATGATAAAACTGCTATTTTCGATGGTACTACTATACCTTTGAGAAGATGGGAAGATTGGGAAAAGAGTAGATTGAGAAAGATGAGAAGAGAAGAAAAGAGAAGGAAAGAAATGGAAAAACAATTTGGTTCAAAAGGTTTTTATCAAACGAATAATGGGAATTCGAATATTGGTCAAGATGGTTTATTAGGTATGTCGATTTTGTCTTCCTCATTCCTCAACTTTGACTTGGATATCACCAACACTTTTACTCGATTTGACTTGAATGTTAGCCACATGTTTTACTCCATTTTACTTTTCTACTCCATTCTGCTTAGACTCCATTCTACTTAGACTCCATTCTACTTAGACTCTATTCTACTCAGACTCCATTATACTCGGACTCTATCTAACTTGGAATCTATCCAACCTGGACTCCATTTTACTTGGACTCAACTACACTCGGATGTAATTCACATGTTTTACTCGACTTTTTCTTGCATGCTATCAACGCTTTTGCTTGATTAATCATATTTGGGAGTGTACTGACGAAATTAGGAACGGGTACAGGGGAAGATTCTTTGAACGCACCAAGAGCGCATTGGATAGATAGTCAATATGGTTCTGGTTCCGATACCAATAGTTTGTTCAGTAGTGATGAAGATGTTTGGGGTGGTGAGATTGGTGGTTATAACGAACATAATCCTGCTTTTCCACCACCGCCGATCTCTTTAGCTCCTGTTCCATCACACGTCACTCCTGATGGGGTATTGGGGGAAGATGAAATGACGGCGATTCTCGATCAAGGGTTTGACGATGGGCCGAGAGGTATGGCCGGGGGTGGGTTGAGTTATCCCCCTTTGGCTTCGTTAGGTGTCAGAGGGTACGCTTCGCCGAGTACTAGTAAACAGTTGGACAAGTATGGAAGATATGATCCGAACGCGGTACGTCAAGATGTGAATGGGAGATATGATCCGATCGCGGTTCGTCAAGGTACCAATGTAAGATATGGTCAAGATACCAACGGAAAATATGGTCAAAACTCCAGTACTCAAGATACCAATGGAAGAAAAGTTCATAATGCCAACCTTGGTGATACGTATGGACGTCACAATATGGATCAACGAGGGTATACCGAGGATAATGGGAATGGACCTGGGTCTGGGTTCGGGGTCGGAACGCAAGTCATGGGTCAGAAGAAGTATCAATTATCAGATAAGGTAGATAGATCGGATCGACGAGTCGAAGGACAAAATGAGAGTGAGAGAAATAGAAGGGAAGAGTTGAATAAACGAGGTGAGGAGAGATATAAAGATAAATCATCACCATCATGGCAAAATATCAACGTTGGTTCTGGTTATAAAGATAAATCATCACCACCATGGCAACATGTCAACGTTGGTTCTGGTGGATGGGAAGGAGAAGAACCTCTTGGGAGTGGAAAAGGTTGGGAAGGAGAACAAGATAGGTTAAATTCAGGAAACAGTATTTCATCTTCTATCGAACCGAACGATTCTAGAGGTCACGTTAAAAGACGGTCAGGTGGGAAAGAAAAGTATGGTCCTTTAGGTCCTTTGGAAGATGGTTGGGGAAGGATATAGAGTAGTTATATGGTGCTGAGATGTATCTTCGTGATGAGGTGACTTCTACTTCTTTTGTGTGTCTACGTGATGGCATGGGGACATCTTTGCCTGGTTATCGTTTCCCCCCTTGACCACTGTAAGTTTCCACTTGACCATTGCAAGTTTGTTTGGGAATGACGCCTTGATCTTGAGTTTGAATCCGGTAGATTCATGACTCTCTTCACTCGTCACTTGATTTCCCAGTGAGTGTACACGTCAGAGTTATACGACCACGTAGCACCTCTTCCGTCTCGAGGAGGTAGCTGTTTGAATGTTTCCATACTCGAGTTCGCTGTTTAGATATTTCATTACTTAGGTTTAAGGTGAAGAAGAACAGTATGACGTCATGACCCAACTTTCTCAGCTTACTCTTCTTGATGTTTCATCTCGTTTCCACGTTTCATCATTGACTGAAATAAGTATAAGTGGGTAAACGTCAATATCAGAAGACCATTCAAGGTACGGGAACGAGCACTTACCTCCTCTACCAAGTGAGGATCCGTAGTGGACCATCCACATCGGAATAATCTCAGTGGAAAACTCCTCCGAATTCCAAGCATAGTGAAGTAATCACCCAAACGAAGAGGGTCAAAGTAGGCCGGACAAAAACGACAAAAGTCGATCATAAGAGTGACTGATGGGTGATGGACCTTACATTCGATCAAGCGGACGTGGGCAGTTCACTCAGACATAGGAAGACCGACCGGATTGAGGGTCTCACACCGGTCGGGGATGGACATTATCGGAGTATTATAGGGAGTGATCACGCACAAGTTCAGAGTATCCTAAGAGGGAGTGATCACCCACCCGGTCAGAGTATTCTAGGGAGTGATCACCCACAAGTTCAGAGTATCCTAAGAGGGAGTGATTACCCACAAGGCTTGTCCTACCTGACGGAAGGAACGGACCTCGCACGAGGGAGATATCGCGGTTGGGGGAGAGTTGGATTAGGGATAGGATTGATCTTGGTTGTTTTGTGAGTTTAAACTTAAACATTCATACACCTTCCTCGCAGAAAGATACATACACCCTTCTCGCAGAAAGATATTTTAGACCTCTTGCTCTCGTTCTGTATCCATTCACCTTCTCCTTTTATTCCCTATCTAAGCTACCGTGCTTGTCCATTGCTTCTCATCTTCGACTTTTGAAATTGTTTTCTCAAGACTACGTTCTTCGTTGGTCCTCGAGCCATCATCGAACCGTATCCATGAACGTTTCGGCGTTCGACCGGTTCATTTCGTTCTGAACACCAATGGTTCCAATTCGCTTTCACTTCATATGAACACCCCGATAGGTCTCGGCACCATTTCTGGAAAAAATCCGAGACCGAGACCGACTGCCAGGATAAATATCTAGGTTGATATCTAATGATTCTTTCCGCCATCCCAAGGAGGAATGGAAGAACATCGTCCATCTCTGACGAATACTTGATGTCCATATTGTGACTGACCATTAGGTTGTCAACCTTTTACTCTCTTCTTTTCTCCACTTCATTAGATACCTCCCTTCATCCTCACTACCCACACCAACGATTCGACCAACAGAACAGAACCGCCTACTTTGCTCAAAAAGGGAATTTCGTCAATACATACTTTGTGAAATACACTTGGGCGTGGACATCCTTCTTCGTCTTGATACATATTCTCACTTCCCCAATCCCTCCTCTCACTTCTCTTACTGTTTCTTCAACGATCGCTACTACCTCTCTTTCCTCTCCTCCTCACGCGCGATCCCCTTTGGCTTCATATGCCACGTCTCCTCAAGTTGTTCGGTCGCCTGGTCTATCAGAAATTTCCACTTCGATCCGAGCTACCTTCACCCGACTGACCCGACTCAGACCTTGGTTCATGGCGACGATCATCTGGGCAAGTTTCACAAGATGGTTCTTTGGTCAATCTCTCTTCGATCGTATCATCGTTTTATCAGGTGGTGAATGTGTTCTGTCCATCCCACCTGACCTCGACTCGTCCAAATTGATACAATCCCTCCAATCTCACAACGTTCATCTTTCCCAATCCCCTCTGTCTGACCCTCTTTCAACATTAAATTCCATGATGGACCCTTCTTCCTCGTCACCGGTACAACTACCGCAATTGGAAAATGGTTTCATTTCTTTACCGCAACAATTTTGCTCACCAGGAGGACATAAACCTCTTTCAAACCTCTTGTCCGAGATGGCACATACAGGAACGATGAGACCGAGATGGAGAAAAGGACACGATATCTCGGGTCATACTTTTCTTTTGATATTGGCCATCATCCTTCTGGTCAAAGAACTTGAACCGACCTGGAAGAGATGGACGCGGAGGGTAAGCAGTCTTTCCCGGCGCAACCAGCTGTTCAGAAAGACGGAAATTGCGTTGATCGATGATTCACAAGGAATGGATTTCGGGAAAGATGTAAAACTTGACGGTGAGGAGGTGGTGATCGCCAGGGAAGTGAACAGTGATGAATCCAAGGAGACAAAGAGGAAAGGACAGAAGGTAAAACGTTCAGGGTTAGGGGGAAAGATGAGGAGTTGGATACATTCGTTTAGTGGGATAGGAGCGACGATATTGGTTGTTCTATGGTTTTGGATGTTGATTATGACCGGAATCTATTTTCATAATCCTCAAGAGAAACTCACTGGACTGGGTAAGTTCTTCCTTCATCTTACATCCTCGATCTTACACCGGTCCCATTGCCTCTGTGCGATCTCTTTCGTCTCATCCAGTCCCTCCTGATAGCTGTCACCCAACTCAATCCCTGCTCTAATGACCATCTCGGAAACCGGTTTGCTCGTCAGCCAGCGTGAGTATGGGCTGCTTCCGCTTCAAGCCGATGGAAGGTCAAACAGACCTCGAGAATCAGGTAAATCGAAACATCATAGCTGATCTCAGTTTGCGGGTTGTTGGCCGGGGGTATTGTCGATCTATTCTCACCTTCCACAGTGACCGATGTCTCACTCTATGACTCCGAAACATCGACAGTGCTTATCGACGAGAACGAGGCTCGACGTGATAGTGTGAGCCTTACCGATCTCGATTAAGGAACTTTACGTTACCCGCTCCAACCCGAAATCTGGGCCTCTCTTCTCACGTCTTCCCCACTCCCTTCCCCATTGCCTTTCTTCTCAACCTATCCACTGCTTCGCCTACCAGTGCTCCCCTCCGTCCAGCTTACTTTTCCCCATGACTGCTTTCCGCGTCGTCTCCTCCCTTCCCGTTTCACTTCCCCCCTCCCCCACCCCCACCCCCAGTCAATCTCTATCGAACTACCAACACGGCCACAACCTCCCCTTTGTCTTTCCCACACCCTCGGCCGACCAGGCGCAAATTTTTCACGGCACTCTCGCTTCCTCCGACCGAAACGGAGATCGTCCAAACCTGTGCAGCCTTTTCTCGATGGGGATACCGACCGAAACGGAGATCGTCCAAACCTGTGCAACCTTTTCTCGATGGGGTCACGGCATAGACGGCTTGCGGTCTCGCGGCGTCGGAGTAGAGAGAGGGAGGAGCGACAGTTCGGCGGAGGAATCTTCCAGATCCGTCCATTCGGGCGTCGCACCAATGGGAGTCTAGAGGGTATATACGAAGACGCGAAAGTCATCCATCTATCAGGAAAGCTGAGATATCGGGACTCGTCTATGAGGGATAGAAATTGACCCCCGCGCGGTCCACTAGAGGTTTTAGACACGAAGAAGAGACAAACCGAGAGACGATGTCGTGGAGCCGATCCCCTGGTCAATGTGAGATCTTCCCACACTTTGAAAAAATCTTCCCACTCCAACCCCGAAATCTTCCGCGCCTCCGTGAGAAGTCTGTGACTTCGAAATACCTCCTTTCAACCGATGGAAGGGCAGGAAGAAGGGTTGATCAGATTGCTGTGTTACAGGGAAACTCAGCAAAACTGCGGGTAATGAATAGGGATGTGGATGATGGCTATATAACGCTCACGGGCATGCATCCGGTCCATCACATTTCCATCTCCAACCAAGAATCTGATGCATGACACTGCGTGAGGCATCTTTTACCCCTCCTGCTCGGACTGAGGATGTCACACCAGAAATATCGTCCCACGGAGATTTTGAACTTAGACCTGTTGAGAACGCTGGGTCTGATGGAGGATCCCCATCCGATGACAGTGTGGAGCCCATGTTGCCTCCATACGAAAAACTAGCACAACAACTAAAAACGGCTGATGAACAATCAGACGGGGACGATGAACAATCAGGCGAGGATGATAGACAATCAATCAAAACGGAGTCCTCGAGTGTGAAATTGCCCTTGTGGGAAGGTGACACGGGAATGGATGGCACAGCCCTGGATGATGAGGCACGATCATCTGCAAGGGACGAGTGTGATCAAGACCCCCCCAGTCCCCTTACTCCATTGTCTGAACTGGAAGCAATTCACCCTGAATTACGCTCCAACCTCTCAATCAGTGACTTACCCCCCCTTTGGACCAGGCCAGATGATGTCAAGCTTACCGACCCTGTGTGTCAAACCAGCCTGAGAACTTACCAGGAGCAAATCACTGCTCTCTTGCAAAGAACTAAGGCTTCACTACTCACAGGGTGTGTTGTAGGAGATACATTGCACCTCCATTACGGTAATGAGTCTGCGGAGGTCACGCCAATCCGCAACACTGAGGCCTACACCCATGCTATCACCAAAAATACAGAACTGATACTTAGATGTCTTGTACAAGGCAACAAGTACGAGCGTGGAAATGAAAAACATAGGAAACAACCTGGGTGGACGGCAAGCAGTAAAGATCTCAGAACTTTTGTTCTCGCTGCAGAGAGAGCTTGTGTGGAACTGACAGAGGGCAAACTTGATGATGCTCAACAACGCAATGCACATGCTAAGCATTGGAAAGTGGTTCGCAAACCATCAGAGACAATTGTCAGTGAAACGGAGCTGTTGGTCTTGAAGTGTGCATTGATTGCGGCCTCATCCAAGCAGTATGAAAAAATAACGTTTGCAACACCTCGAAATGTAAATCTGGATTCAACCAAGACAGATAATGACAACAAGCGAGCCCTGCCACCAGGGTGGACAGCGGTCTCTGACATCCCTGCTCTCAAAGTCATGATCAGGAGGCAGATGTCACGAACTACGTCGTGACACCCCCTAAATCTGTAACGGTACTGGAAACACAATGACTAGGTCGCAGGTTGGGTCGAACTCGATGGAGGTCTCGTAGAAATCTAGGGGCTCTGGTGCTAATGGATCGTGTCTCCTCTGCAATCGATGTAGCCAAAGAATGATATTGAAGAATTAGCAAAGTTGGTACTTTGCTGATTGTACTATATACTGTCTACAGGTGTCCGTGTCCTCCTCTCAGTCCTACTGCAAGCGTCTATGTACATACTCGGACAGGTGAAAAACCGCTTTTGAGCAAACCCAGCGGGGAAATCTCGAAAAGGGAAAACCCGTCCCTACCTACTGCAGCACTGCCTCCAACTCTCGCCGTTCTCTTTCCTAATCTGTCGAACTCGATGGAGTTCTCTTGATTCGTTGTTACTCCGTAACAAGTTTCCCCCCCTGTCTCAAGGATCCCCGCCGAGGATCCTGCAACCTGTAACCAAGTGATTCACATGGATTGTTCTGAGACACCTTTGGTGCGCCCTGACGTCACACCTATGCTAGTGTGACGGTTGCCATGGAACGCGTCACCCGCACGGACCTCCAATGTGATCGACAAGTCTCTTTCCCACCTCTCTCTCTTCTCTCCTCCTCATTCCCTCTTTTTCTCTTGTTCGTCGTTCTTTTTTCTTATCTATCATTATCCATCCATATCCTACTTATCTCTTAGAGTATCCTTCCAACTCTGACCTGCCTGTGAGCATGTCTAAGCGTACTGTAAGCAATTCCTTTCGAATTCGATGTATATCCTCCTATTTCTCACTGGCTGACGAGATTAGTTGTCTCCTTCTACCCCCTCCCGTCGAACTCGAGCATCTACTACGGCAATCCTACCTGACGTGGACCCCTAGCTTCTCATGCGTTAAACGAAAAGAATGAGAAGTACTTCCCAAGCGCCCGTTCTCTCTCAACCTCCATTGGTTGATGCGTCTCGAAGAGCTCTCGACACCATTAAGGATCGATATCAATCCGGTCCTTCTCGCGATCAACAATCGTCCCTCCTCGATGACGAGGTCATCGAGCAATATATCGACTTCGAAGGGGGTGCTGGACCATCTGCTACTGGTGAGAACCCATCTCCCTCCAAGTCCATCGAATCCGAACACGGCACCATCGTTGAGAATCAAAATTCTCCTGGTAATAAGTCCCCTGTGCCACCTTCTGATTATTCAGAGGGACTTGTCGAGGTTCCCCATGAACTCGAAATCATTTTTCACACCCCTCGTCAGGTTCCGGTCAATGATGAACTGGTTAAGGTTCTGGACGCTCGAAAAGACTTGGAAATTGGTGAGATTCCTATAGAATTCTGTGCGTTTCTGACCCGTCAGCTACTCTCTGGGCCAAAATGACCTTCTCCTCTGTTCGTACGGCTCTGAAAGACGAAGCCCTCCATCGTTTTTGCGAGACTGGCGCCATCAATCCTACTGTTAAGTGGTTTAGGAATGCTGTGAGTCGTATCTCTTCCGAATTCCACCGATTTCTAACTGTTAGCTTGATCGTTTGGCCCAAGGTTGGCGACTTCGCAACAAGAATGGTGCTGTTGTCCGTCTCGAGGGTGAGCTTTGCTCCGATTGCCAGTGTTGCCTTGATGGTGGGGAAGATTTTCGTGTGGGTCGTATTGGTCCTCGTGAGTCTTCCTACTCTACTTGTTTGATATTGATGCAATTCAGTTGGTGGTGTTTGTGGAGAGTGCTCTGCGAAGGGAACTTCAAAGTGTTCGGTGAAAACCAACAATCCCGAGTCCAAATTTCGCAAGGTATCTATCTTCTTCCTTCGAACTTGATCGATGTTGATGTAAAGGGTATTACTGTCGGAGCCCAGACTGTCACTTCCAAGGTTACCTTCGTCCTGGAGCACGAACTCTGTGCTGTCTCGACCAGATATCGATCCCTCTCTTCCCAGGATCAATCCTCTTCTCTTACCCAACTCTCCGCTTACATTCATCTTTTCTCCTCCCTCCTCCTTCCTCTTCCCCCAGTACATCTGGGTCTCTACAAGTCTCTCCATCTCATTCCTTCCGATTATACTCCTCCCTCTCCCTCCGAAACCTTGGATCATCTCACCTCCTCTGGTGATCCTACTGGATTGAGTTCCTCTCAGCCAGTCGCCGGTCCCTCCTCTTCTCCCCATACTCCTCTCCCCCGCAATGTCATTCGTATTCCCGCTTCGGCCCGTCGTCCTCGAGCCAATTCTACCGCCTCCAACTTCTAGTGTGTTTATGTTTCTCTATTTGTAGCTATATTTCCTGTGTATGCATTCATTTCCGACCCAGTTTTGTTGATCTTGATCGAATTCTCACTTTCTTCTGGGGTCCCTTTTCCTTTTTTCCAGACATTCACCAAAAACGGCCAACTCCTCTACATTTTCTGGTGGTTCCCAGTCATAGGCCGCATTCCCTGTGTATCCTAACCATTTTACCTTGAATTCTTCCTTTCCTCGTTGAATTCTGCTGTCCACAATCGCTTCCACATGGAATTCCTCCTGGCAGTTTATTACTACAGGTGGTGGAGGTTGTACCTGTCGACCTGGTATCATGTCCCTAGGATATGTTTCCAACAGCGTGACATTGAAGACATTGTGCACTTTCATTGATGAAGGTAGATCCAATTCGAAAGCATTTTTCCCAACCTTCCTTATGATCTTAAAAGGGCCAATGTATTTTGCTTCTAATTTTCGACTGGGTCATTCCGTCGTAAGATACTTTGTACTCAGTAGTACCTGTTCTCCCTCTCTGAATTCTTCTGGAATGCTTTTATGCCTCCTGTTGTAATATTCCCCACTAATCTCATTAGCCATCCTGACCTGTTCTTGAACAGCCGCATGTAATTCTCCCATATCTCTCCATTTCTTCTCCAACTTGTTTGACTTTGATCGAATATCGTGCAAATGGATGTCGTAGTGTGGCACATAGCCGTAACAGGCTTCAAATGGACACAAACCATGACTACTATGTGGAGAGCAGTTATAAGCAAACTCAGCAATCGGTAGAAGCTGATCCCAATTGTCCATGTTGTAGTTCACATACATCCCGAGTAGGATTTCCATCTGTTGATTTACTCGTTCAGTCTGTCCGTCTGTTTGAGGATGATATGCAGTTGAATATAGGTTTTTTATTCCCAGGAATTGACATATTTCCTTCCAAATCTCAGCTGTAAACTGAGTTCCCCTGTCTGATACGATTGTTCGAGGTACTCCATGCTTTGAAAAGATCTCCTTGATGTATATGTCAGCCACCTTGTTTGCTGTTAGTCCGGTTGTACATGGAATAAATCGAGCCATCTTGGTTAGTCGATCAACTATTACTAGAATTGTGTCAAACTCCGTCGATTTCGGTAAAGGTCCTACCATGTCCATGGAGATATCTGTCCACGGAAGTGTGGGTACTGGTAAGGAGACTAGATGTCCGTATGGCTGATGTCGATGAGTCTTATGTCGATTACAGATCTCACATCCTTTTACGTACTTTGCGATATAATCGTCCAAATGTGGCCAGTAATAATCCTGTTTGACTAAGGTGATAGTTTTATCTCTTCCTGGGTGTCCTACTAATATCGAATTGTGTCTTGCTTTCATTACTTCTAATCTTGCTTGTCCCTCTGGTATGACTACCCTGTTTTTGTACAAGAGTAATCCGCTTTGTGTCCATGATACTATTGGTGTCTCGTTGCTAATCTGTGTCTTCTGTGTGTCCTGTGTGCTCTGTGTGTCCTGTGTGCTCTGTGTCTGTGTCATTTGTAGTCCTAGTCGTTGTATGTTTGCTATGTCTTCTGAGTCTTTCAGTCCGTTTTTGATGAGTCCAAATAATGAGTCTTCCCGGATTGCTCCTCTTACTATGTGTCTGGCTTCTGAGTCTATCGAATTCAATCCACTTTGCTTGTATGTTGGTAGCAATTGTAGCCAGTTACCTTTGTTTAGGTCTGGGTCCTTACTACTCCCTTTTCCCGGGTGATAATCCCCTCTTCTAGTTAGAGCATCTGCTCCCCCATTTTTACTACCTGGTCGATAAGTGATCTCTATGTTGAAGTCTCCTAATATTTCCAACCACCTCATTTGTCTTCGATTCAGTTGTCTTTTACTTTGGAAGTATTCCAGGTTCTTGTGATCCGTGATGACTTTTATGACATCACTACTGTTGGCCAAGTATGGTGTCCATGCTACCAAGCAGTCCACAATGGCTAGCAGTTCCTTCTCTCCCACTGTGTAGTTTCATTCGCAGGGTGTCATTGCTCGAGACCAATCGGCAACCGGGTGAAGCTCGGTGGTCCCCTTTATTGATGGGTGAGGGAATCTTTGAGACGCTATCGCGCCTATTGCACAGTCGGATCCATCGGTTTCGATCCAAGTTGGTCGGGTTCTATCAAAATGTCGAAGTACTGGCGCTGTGGTAAATGTTTTCTTTAGATCGTCAAAAGCCTTTTGGCATTCTTGTGTCCAGTTCCAAGCTTGATCTTTCCTGGTCAATCGTGTGAGAGGTCCCACAATATGCAAAAACCCCTTGATAAACCTTCGATAGAAGTTCGCAAAGCCCAAGAACACTTGAGTATCCCGGATTGTCATGGGTTCTCCCCATTCTAGAATAGCTTTCACCTTTTCTTGATCCATTTCGATCCGCTCGTGTCCTATTACATACCCCAGGAACTTTACTTCGTTTGAACTCCACTCACATTTCCTCGGACTGACGACTAAATCGTTTTCAAGTAGTCGATCTAACACCTTTTGGACAACTATTTCATGGTTCTCGATCGTGTCGGAGTATACTGTAATGTCGTCAATATAAACTACTACCCCTTCGTCAAGTAGATCGTGAAACATGTCTTGTAAAAAGTTCTGAAAGGTGGCTGGTGCATTACACAACCCATCCCTTAGTACCGTGCTCTCGAAACTGCCATATCTTGTCCGTAAGGCAGCTTTATGTTCATCTCCTTCCTTTATCCTGACTAACTGGTAGGCTCCTTTTAAATCGAGTTTGGTGAAGATCCTTCCTAATTGAAGCCGATCGAGTAGTGTCGAGATGAGTGGCATTGGGTATGAATCCTTGATGGTTACCTTGTTAAGCGCCCGATAATCCGTTACCACTCGATAGGGAATCACCCCCTTTTTGGGAACCAGGAGTACAGGAGATCCATAAGGTGATTTGCTTCTTCGTAAATGGCCGCTGGCCAAACCGTCATTGATCCATTGCTTTAGGAATGCGTCCCCATGTTTGTCTAGTTGATATATTGGGCCCGGCTTCAGTTCTGCCCCTGGTGTTAACTCGATTTCGTGATCACATTCTCTTCTTGGTGGTAATCTTCTTGCTCTCTCCACCTTGAATAGTTCTAGATACTGGTGCCATTGTGTCGGTATGACTTGTCGTAGTTCCTCCTCGCTCATTTCATCTTCTCCTTTTTCCAATGCTGTTCCTCTTACCAATCCTTCCTCCAATCTTGGATACTTCCAACCATTATCCTGTCCGATTCTATCGAACTCGATCAATCCCTTTCCACAATCGATCCTTGCCCTGAACTGTTTCAAGAAGTCCAATCCCACCAGTACGTCAGGGCCTTTGTATGCCATTACATCCAATCGAGTCGCAATCTTGAGTCCTTCTCCTAGGTCCAATTCGGCTTCTACATACTCAGTCACTAACGTCGCGGTTGTTCCATCGAGGAACCTAATCTTCCGTGGTTCCTGATACTGTCTCTTTGGGTATAGATGGTATAATGGACAGGCCGGCTGTACATACCTTCCGGTAGCCCCGGTATCAATTAACATTCCAAATCGTAGGGTATCTTCTTTTGTCTGTATTTTTATGCATATTATAGCCGAGTCATTACTAAGATCTATTGGTAGTTGAATTTTGTGCGATTCTGTTAGATCCTGGCCGCAAGTGGTTGCATCACCTAGGCCAGGTAGTCGTTTCCCTCTTCTTCAAAGGTCACCGCCATTCCTCGAACCAATGGCCCTTTGGATCCAGTTGGAATTGAGTTCAATCCACTAGGAATTGGTGACCCATGCGGGTTTGGGGATCCTCTAATGTTGTTCCTCGTGTTTCCTCCATTTGGACAGTTATTGGCATAATGTTCTGGGCTCCTACACTTGAGACAGCGTCGGTTCTCCCTTCTCCAAGTCATTTCGTTCTCACTGAGGCGTCCTCCGTCCTCTGTCCAAGTGACCGGAGGGTCATTTGGTAGACCAAGATTCATCATCCCTGGTTTCCCACCTGGTAGTGGTCCTCTACCACCTGAATGCGGGTTTTGTTGCACAGGGTTCGAAAGATTACTATCCAATCGTGTCGAGTTCCATCGTGGGGGGATCCATGTTGTTTCATTTTTACGCCTAGCCGCCCATTGGTTTGCTGCAATCATCGTTTCAGCCATCCGTTGATTCTCCTCGGTTCCTATTACGTGTTGCTTGAAGTAGATCCAATCCGATTTGGTTCGAGGGTCGGTGTTATTCACCACTACCACTTTCAGTAGTTCTTCTTTCAGGCCCTGTATGGCTGATGCGGTTTTTCATCGCATCGGGTACCTTTCCGAGATGAGTTGACCATAATTCGAAGTTTGCAAAGTATTCCGCTGCGGTGTCGGTCTGTCGTAGCTCTTGTAGTTTCCGCATAGCGGTGCCCGCCATGTTGCTGTCCCCAAATTGCGTCCTTAAGTGTTGAATGAATTTATGGTATGTCTCTAGCCATTTCGTCGAATTCCATATACTTGGGTTGGTTATGGCCGGAGTTAAGAGCATTTGAGGGGTACCCCATAGATAACCGTACATGAACAGGATCTTTCTGCGATCGGTGGCGTACTCTGCCCCTTTTGAATTCGAAGTTCATGTGGCATGCCGCAAGGAAATTGTCCAATTTCCTTCGTTCTCCACTGAAAGTAGGTGGGTCCGCACACCTGGTTCTTCCTATTCGTTTGTTGTTGGTAAGTTTTGGCTCCAAACACGGCTTTTTCTCTTCGATTTTGATCGAGCTTGCCCCTTTTGAGGTGAGTAGCTGTTGGTTCTGTCGGTCAGCCTTGATCATAGCCAGTTCTTCCCTTAATGCATTTTGTTCCTTTTGTTGCATCGTCATAATGGCTAGTAATTGTGACAACTGCTGCGATAATTCATTCAGTGGATCTGGGGTAGTGGTGGTAGAAGTGAGATTATGTGAAATAGTACTTCTCGAAGAACTTGTTGGCATTTCTACCTCTGGGACCAGCCCTTGTTCCAACTCCCCTTTTTCCGATATACTCTCCACTTTGACCCAAGGCGCGTAAGGCTGATTCTTCAACTTGTAACGGTACTGGAAACACGATGACTAGGTCGCAGGTTGGGTCGAACTCGATGGAAGTCTCGTAGAAATCTATGTGTCTCTGGTGCTATGTGATGGATCGTGTCTCCTCTGCAATCAATGTAGCCAAAGAATGATGTTGAAGAATCAGCAAAGTTGGTACTTTGCTGATTGCACTATATACTATCTACAAGAGTCCGCGTCCTCCTCTCAGTCCTACTGCAAGCGTCTATGTACATACTTGGACAGGTGAAAAACCGCTTTTGAGCAAACCCAGTGGGGAAATCTCGAAAAGGGAAAACCCGTCCCTACCTACTGCAGCACTGCCTCCAACTCTCGCCGTTCTCTTTCCTAATCCGCCGAACTCGATGGAGTTCTCTCGATTCGTTGTTACTCCGTAACAAAATCCCACCAACAACGACCCTCCTTTGTCCATCAAAACCCCATCATCTCTCGACCTCTTCGGGTACAAGGATCCTAGGACATCTGCGACCACACACGGCGAAGTTAGTCAAGGTTAGATTGGTCAGGGATAGGGAGAAAAGAAGTACGGCGAGGTTAGGCGAAGTTAGATTGACCAGGGATAGAGGAAGCAGAAGTACGGGGAAGTTAGGCGAGGTTTTGAAGGACGGGCGTTTGGTGGTTCGGTGAAGTTGGCCGAAGTGCGTCGAAACGCAGACGGTTTGGATGAACATCTAGGAGGAGTAGATAATATTAGCTGAGAAGATCGCTGAAGAACTTCAGCGATCCTTGATTGTTGTCAGTAGTGAAAAATAGATAGAGATAGCTACACCTACATCGAGATACATCGCCATCAGAGAAACCCCTATACATAACAGCTACGACGAACCTCGTTGAAGTTGCCATCAGTTCGGAGTCTACGCCCTCCTGTTTGGGTGAGACACCAACCCCCGAAGTACGAAGTTAGCCAAGGTTTGTCGACCGTCGGTCTTTGAGAGAGAAGTTTGACGAGAGGCGTGACAGCAGAGGGGATATTGATCCCTGCTTGTCACAGGGTGACTGTTACGATCCGGTAGTCCAGATCCTAACACCCATATCAAAGCACATGTTCTTTACGATGTAATACACCGCAAAGTGTACGCTTCTCAACGACTCCCACCTTCTTTCCGTTGTCTCAATGTTCTTCGTGCAATGTACAACGTATTGTACGCATCACGACGAGAAGGTACCCCCCCAAAATGGACTCAGAAAAGGATATACACCCCTTGTACTTCTTTCATAGTTCCTTTTCTTCAGAGATCAAGTATCATATGTTTCTACCTTTACTGACCAAGTCTTCCAATACTGACCTAGACTTCAAGCTTGTCTTCAACATTGGCCCCAAGCCCATCTTCGTTCACACCTTGGGTCTGAATATAGTTATCATACACCCTTTTGTCATCATCATCTTAGACTCTCTCATTGTCAGTAAGTCATCTCGTCCTGCGTATCAGAGTTCCTCTCTCGCTCCCTTATTGACTTTGCCGTCAATGTCACGAATATGCGACTGATGACAATGAAGCCGCAATGGCGTGTCTCAAACAGTCTTATAGGCAACAGTAAGTTAGAGTAGAGGAGCTAGAATCAAAGATGACAATTGATCAGAGAGACAGAGAAACAAACAGAGAGCTAGAACCACTATTTATAGACAAAAACCTCAAAACTGAACCTAAAACTCCTTCCTCTCCTCCCCTACCTCCAGGGGGGGAACCCTGAGGAAACCCTGTATCAAAAACAGCATTTCAAACGACTTTACAGAAGGCTCTGTATCATCCTGGAAGCCCCTTGAAGCCCCCTAGAAGAGATCTCATCATAAAAGGTTGAAAAGTCATGAAACACCAGACAAACAAAGGATCCATGGGAAGTGAAACTCTTGGCTGAGCTCTGACTTTTCAGGGGGTTCAGAGGGTGTTTCTTAAGCGCCCACATCATGCAGATTTTGACCCAAAAATACCTGGTTCAGTCCTGCCAGTTCGGTAGAGGTTTGAGAGGTTTGAATATAGGCTAGAAATGCTTCGTAAAGTGGGTTTTCCTTCTGGTTCTTCAAGCTGAGTCGTCCGCACTGCTGAGACAGATGAAACCTCTGACTGATAGTGCTGTCACGAGACCAACTAACCAGCATTGGGACAATATAACAGTGCCCCTCGGAACAGTGATCTAAACCACTGTGACAAAAAGGCCTATCAACCGGCGATATCTACAATCGCCGGTCGCTGGTTAAATACCCAATCCATCCTAAACCGTGCTCAAACCGTGACTAAACTTAACTAGGTAACTACGTGTCCTTCCTCATGTCACAACAACTCGTGACATTCTGACCCCACTTGGGGCCCCACACGGATGGGTACAATAGGCCGAAAACTTACTCCACCTGGGAGGTTTTGCAAATAGGTCGGGGTTACCCCTGTTCAGCCAGGGAGTCGAACCCCGGACCTATCCGTTATCGCCGGTTGATCTGTCACGAGACCAACTAACCAGCATTGGGACGATATAACAGTGCCCTTCGGAAAGGTGATCTAAACCACTGCGAAGAAAAGGCCTATCAACCAGAGATATCTACAATCGCCGGTCGCTGGTTAAATACCCAATCCATCCTAAACCGTGCTCAAACCGTGACTAAACTTAACTAGGTAACTACGTGTCCTTCCTCATGTCACGACAACTCGTGACAAGTGCGTACTCCTCATCACTAGTGTGTACTCTTCATCAGTGGCGTACACTTCTCAATCAGTAGCGGGTGTGTATTGATCAGTAGCGTGTTTTCCTCATTCAAAACACGTGTTTTCGCCAGGCTGTCCTGACGACCGGTTGACCGGTTGATCCGGCGAACCAGTTATCTGGTAACCGAGGGAGTCGTACTACCGTTGACAGATGTACGTACTCTCATATGACGTCAGTGGCGTGATCACTAATTAAGGTACCCGCAATTGATCGCTAATTAAGGTACCCGTAATTGATCGCTAATTGAGGTACCCGTAATTGATTGCTAATTGAGGTACCCATAATTAATGGCTAATTACTGATCATTGATGATTCTATTGTTTGTTGATTCGGTCCGGTTCATACACAGAAATAGATGCCGACCGGGGATCTGGCTGATATTGCTCCCGAGGTACCCTTGCTTATCGGTTCGTCCGGTCTGAGCGGAACTGAGGACACGGGACCTGGTACATTTCAGCCGGAGCTTGGGATAATGACAGATGACGACAGATGACGACAGATGACGTGATTGATGTACACAATGTCGAGTCAGGTTGACTCAGTGATGGGAGGGTGATTAAGGTTGAATGGATGATCCACATGTCGTACGATGGAGCGAGTTGAGACGAGTTGAGTAAAGTTGACTGTACTTGAGTGGATGTTATACATGCGGTATTTACAGATATTCAAGGGTTATGACACCAACCTTGTGACACATTGACTGTAGAGGAGACACAACTAGCACTCTGTACCAGAGTTACTCAGAACCAGAGTTACTCAGAACCAGAGTTACTCAGAACCAGAGTTACTCAGAACCTCATAGGACTCCATCAAATTTGATCCAATCTGCTCCTAAGCTGTTGTGCTTCCAATACCGTCATGCTTGACTACTACAGTAAGGTCCAGGAAGTCATGGAACACCACTTTTATGGCAATTAGAAATCCGGTGGGCTGCAGAGCAGGCCCCTTTGGACCCTCTGTAGACTATTAAAACCCTACATTCTCTTTCCACAGTTTCTTTTCTTCAGAGATCAATTATCATTGTTTTCACCAATTACTGACCAAATCCTTGATAGTCACCTTGACTGCAACCTTGTCCTCAACAAAGGCTCCAAGCCTCAACCTCTTCAAACTTGGGCCCTCTTGTCACACGTCTCGTCAAACTTCTCTCTGTCACGAACTACGTCGTGACACCTCGATTACTCCACCAACAATGACCCTCCTTTGGCCATCAAAACCCCATCACGCCTTAACCTCTTTACTCTACACGTAACTCAGGACTTCTGAGACCAAGTACGGCGAAGTTAGACGGAGTTAGGCTAAGTAGGGACGATGGGAGCAGAAGTACGGCGAAGTTAGACGGAGTTAGGCTAAGTAGGGACAATGGGAGCAGAAGTACGGCGAAGTTAGACGGGGTTAGGCTAAGTAGGGACAATGGGAGCAGAAGTACGGCGAAGTTGGATGGAGTTAGGCTAGGTAGGGACAATGGGAGCAGAAGTGCGGCGATGTTAGGCGGAGTTAGTCGAAGGAGGAAGAGGATGGCCGAGGGCTCGGGGAAGTTGGACGAAGTACGTTGAAGCACGTCAAAGCGCGAGAGGGTTGGATGAACGTCTAGGAGGAGTAGATAATATTAGCTGAGAAGATCGCTGAAGTTCTTCAGCAATCCTTGATTGTTGTCAGTAGTGAAAGATAGATAGAGATAGCTATTTACAAATCGAGATACATCGCCATCAATAGAATAAAACCCCAGTTAGAGTAACTACGCCGAAGTACACCGTAGTTATCCCCCCCCTTTTGACGTCTGCGCCCTCCCGGTTGGGTGAGACACCGATTTAGAAGGACCAAGTTAGCCGAGGTTCGTCGACCGTCGGTCTGTTAGAAAGTAGTTGTTCGACGGCCGTGACAGTATCAAGGATCGCTCTTACCGACGACCCGTGCGAACCTCGGAGAAGTACTAAGATTCTATGGAACCAGATAGGAGAGTTACGCGAGGCATGAGTAGGGATGGAGACAGGATGGAGGAGAACGAATGGAGGGCACTGGAGGAGCTGAGCAGAGCGATGGGGCAGGAGCTTGGAGTGGAGGATAGTGTGGGGGGATCAATTCAAGGAGATGAGTTCGTTCCACCAGTGCTTTCTAATCCTCCTACCCCTTCGGGTAATGCTCTCCCACCTATAGGATCCCCAGTTGGATCGGATCAAACCCCACGGCCAGAAAACACTGGAAGTACGGCGAACTTGGGAGGAGAAGGTACACAAGGGGTGATATTGGCCTTGATGCAGATGGTGGCGAATATGAACAAAGACATGATGGAAGAGAGAAGGCGTAGGGAGGAGTGGGAGCAGAGAAGGGAAAGGGAGACGGTGGGCGGTATTGCAGAAGGGATATCAGAAGGGGTGAGGTACGCCATGGGACGGCAAACTTCGGCGACCCCAAGCGTAGTTGGCGAACAACGGAAGGGGATAAAACTGCCTAATCCGGACTTCTGGAGAGGAGAGAGGAACAAGTTGACCGCATTCCTGTCGGAATGTGAAATCCATTACGAACTGAACTCTCATCTTTTCCCCAATGACACCAAGAAAGTATTCTTCATGATCTCTCATTTACGCGAAACACCTCTTCTCGCTGTCCAACCCGATCTTGCTAAACGACCTCTTCCTGACTATCTTAGGGAGTATAATCAATTCGTTAAATATCTCAAGACAAACTTTGGCGACCCGGATGAAGAAGGAACCGCAGCCCGACTGCTTAACGATCTAAGGCAGACTGGGTCAGCCTCGGAGTACTTCTCCGCCTTTCAACGACATGTGGCGATACTCAAGTGGTCTGATGACGGAAACCTGGTTGACCGAGCCAAGAAAGGGTTGAAACCACACCTCCTAGATGAGATTGCTAGACATGGTAAATCTTTTGGGACTGTCAAGGAGTTATTGGAGTTTGTTATTCCCATGGACAACAGGTTGTGGAGAAGGAAAGTGGAGAAGGATGCGGAGAAGAAGAAGGAGTCGGGGGTAAAGGAAGTGCTAGTGGGGGATAGCCAGAGGGTGGAGAGGAAAGAGGAGAAAAGAGGGGAAGGGAGGCAAACTTCGGCGCAGTCTGCGGTGCAAGCGACTATTACGTCGACGCAGGTCAAGGGCATTCCGTCAAATGCCGACGAACTTTGCCGACAATGGCCCAGGCCACCTCCCGAGCTGAGGGAGACAAGGAAGAAGGAAGGGAAGTGTACTGAGTGCGGGGAGAGGGGACATTGGTTGAGGGATTGCCCGGTGAGGGCAGCGAAGGTAAAGGTCGGATGGTTGTCTCCGTGGGGGGAGAAGTTCGGCGAACGTGGTGGAGGATCGGGGGGTAACGCAGTACCTCTGGGACAGAGGAGGAACTTGAACGCAGTTGGAGGAGATGGAGAGATGGAAGCGGACCAGGGAAAAGAAGAGGACCTGTCGCAGTAGGCGAGGCTCGGCGGGTCCGCCATATACTCTCGGCCACCATTCCCAAACCTATGAAAGAGACACAGCTGATGGAGTCAGAGGATTGTGCATACAAAAATACACCACTCAGTACCCCCTGTTCATGCAATGTCGATAATCACCTACTCATCTCTTCCACTTCTAGAGATCAACCTAAATCGGACATTTTTATTAATGGGATTAAGCTAACTACGCTCTGGGACACTGGGGCTACTTGTTCATATATAAGCCCTAGGGCAGCGGCAAAGATAGGTGTAGGAAGGAGACGATACCAGGTGAGCGTACCTGTTCACATGTTTGACGGGTCGGTTAGTGTCGCTGGACCTATCACCGAATTTGTCGAAGTTGGTTTTAGTTTGACGAAGGACGCCGAAGTGCGATCTGTTCGTCTAGATGTAACAACGCTCTGCAATGCAGATGTTGTGATAGGGTGGGACTGGATGAGGAAGGAAGGGGTTGTTCTAGACGGAAGAGACAACTCGGTGAAGTTCCCCATCCCAATCCCACCGAGTGCGGCGAAGTTAGCAGCCATAGGGCTGCCAGCTCCGACGGACGCGATAGATCTCCGAGACAAAGATGACCAGGATGAACTGAGTCCGGAGGAACAGGAGGAATTGTATCAGGTGGTTCCTGAGCAATATCACCCGTTCATTGATGTGTTTAACCCGAGGAAGGGAGGTGAAGTATTACCTCCCTCAAGGGAATATGATCTGGAATTTGACCTTAAGGAGGGGGCGAACCTGAAGGTTGCTCCACTCTACTCACTCAGAGAAGATCAGAGAAGTGCGCTGAGAGACATCCTAGATCGCGAAACATCGGCCGGAAGAATTCGACCCAGTAATTCGCCCTACGGATCACCGATGTTCTTGGTACCAAAGAAAGCAAAGGGTCAATGGTGAATGGTCATTGATTACCGAAAATTAAACGAAGCAACGATACCCGACGCCTATCCACTGCCTCTGATCGGCCAGATAACCGAAGAGCTGGGAAAAGCGAGGTATTTTAGCAAATTAGATCTGATTGGAGCCTATCAACTCCTACGAGTAAAAGAAGGACACGAGCACTTGACGGCGTTCAGGACTCAGTACGGTATGTTCGAGTCTCTTGTTGTTCGAGATGGTCTGCGAAATGCTCCCGCTGTATTCCAGCATTTTCTGAATGAAAGCTTCCGAGAACTGTTGGGGAAAGGAGTAGTTGTCTACATAGATGATATACTCATCTATGGTCAAACGTTGGAAGAATTGAGAGGAACTACGGCAAAAGTGTTCGAAGTTCTTCGAAGGTCGAATCTGTTCGTCAAGGCTAGTAAGTGCGAGTTTGAAAGATGTCACGGGCGGGGTCTTATCCCCAAAGGGTAAGCAAGGTGACTGAGATGGGGCTATAACCCAATACTTGTCTTGGGCTCGTAGAGCTTGAGGAGTATACAGAGGTTGACAAGGGACTGAGGGGACTGAGGGGACTGAGGGAGCTGCAAGATGTCAGGCTGGATCTGACTGGACTGACAAGTTGAGAATGAGATTCAACAAGAGATTCATAGGTGGGGAACAACCTGTTTGGTGGGGGTTTATATCCACAGCAAAACAGGCTGAACTGCAAAACTACAACAATAAGCTACGGAAGAACTGCTAAACATATTTGCAATTCTCTTCAAGAGAATTGGCAATCCTGACATGTGAAACTAAGAACAATAGGCAAAGGACCCAGGGGTCCAGGGGTAACTGTTACAGGTTCATGGGTGCAACAAGGAACAATAGTCAGAGGACACAGGAGTCCAGGGATAAGTGTGTCAAGCATGTGAACACACAGGGGAACAATAGATTAAGGGCACAGGGGTTCAGGGGTAGGTGTTTCATGTGTGGGAGTGTAAGAGATGACAATAGGGATTGTTGATGGAGATCAAGAACAATAAACCTAAGCCAAAGGGGGTCATGGGAAGTGTTCCAGATGTGTTTCAAGTGTGGGAACACGGGAAAAGACTATCTTAGGTGGCAAGTAGGTGATGTATGACAAAAGAGATTCGGTAGTCTTCTTGGGTTTTGTGGTCTCGCGGGAGGGAGTTTCTAGTAATCCGGAGTACATCGACGCTGTTGTGTCCTTTCCCCGCCCCAAGAACCTAAGAGAGAGCAGAGGATTTATGGGAGTTGTTAGTTATTATCGGCGCTTTGTCCCCAACTTCTCTAGGATTGCTAAACCGATCAATGATCTCACAAGGAAGGATGTACCGTTTGTCTGGGGAATGGAGCAGGAAAGAGCCTTTAAAGAATTGAAGGATAGAATGTGTAGGGCCCCAGTATTGGCTCACTTTGATCCCTCGTTGAAGACATTACTACAGACAGATGCGTCGTTCTTCGGCGGGGGCTTCATAATATCGCAGGTGAACGAGTTAGGACAAGAACATCCGGTGGCTATCGAGTCAGGAGCGTTTCAAGCGGCGCAGTTAAATTATACGGTAGGCGAGAAGGAACTATTAGCTATCGTTGAGGCTTTTAGAAGAAGGAGGCACTTACTGTTGCAGGTAGAGACAACAGTTCTCACGGACCACCTGAACTTGACATACTGGATGGAACCGAAGCAGTTAAGCCCGAGGCAGGGCAGGTGGGTCGAAGAGCTTTCTAACTTTAGGTTTAAGATGGTGTATCGACCTGGAAAACAAGCTACGCTGCCGGACGGCCTATCAAGAAGAGCAGACTACCACTCTGGAAAGGGAAGTACTATGGTGCAAGAGAGCAACCTTATTCAAGGATTGCCGAAGTTCGACGAACTCGACGACACTAACTCTGGGTTACAACACCTACTTCGTGCTTTGCAAGGAACAAAGGAAGTAAGAGAGAATGACCTTATTGATCCCATGGATCTGATTGTTGGGATACAGGAAGATGAAGAAGTGGAGGAGGTTAGAAAAGAGCTATTAGGAGTCATTTGCGCTGAGTGCTCCCATCCAACGTGTCACGATGACGTGCAGGAACCAGGATCAATCACCGAACTACGCCGTAGTTCGTGATCCCCTCTAATACTTCGTGGGGGGTGGACCCCAAGAGGTTTCCTCGCATTCAACGATCGCACTTATGTGCCGAACTACGCCGACGCTCGGCTAAAGATCATGAAGATACGACATGACTCGGCCTTGGCTGGTCACCCAGGTTCGGCGAAGACCCTTGAACTAGTCCTAAGGGATTATGTTTGGGTTGGAGTAAGAAAGGATGTTGAGGACTACATCGCTGGCTGCGCGGTATGTCAGAGAGCAAAGACTAACAGACAGAAACCCCATGGAGAGCTTAAACCATTACAAGTGGCTACTAAACCCTGGTCAAGCATCTCGATGGATTTCATCGAAGAGCTTCCGAATTCCCATGGATATAATTCCATCCTGGTAGTGGTAGACCGATTGACCAAATGGGGCATTTTTATCCCAACCACGACGAAGTTAACCGCAGCTGGACTATCAGAGCTGATAATGGACTACGTGGTGGCTCAGCATGGATTACCAGAGAGTATAGTATCGGACAGAGGATCGAAGTTTACTTCGAAGTTTTGGAAGAACTTGACCGATAGTCTCGGCATAAGACTACATCTTTCTACCGCGTATCATCCACAGACTGATGGACAGACCGAACAAACCAACCAGTCCCTCGAATTATACCTTCGAATCTTCACTTCCTACCAGCAGAACGACTGGTCGAAGCTACTTGCTCGAGCTAGCTTTGCTTACAACAACACCCATCATTCAGCGATAAACAAGACCCCATTCTATGCGAACTACGGGTACCACCCTCGGTGGGCTGAAGAGATTAAGGCCAGTGAAGTTGAGGTACCTGCTGCTACAGTGGTGGTAAAAGACCTAACCGAAATACATAAAGAATGTATTGAGGGAATTGAGAGAGCTAACGAGAAGTACGCCAAAGGATATAATAGGAAACACCGGACTACGCCAAACTTCGTGGAAGGTGACCTAGTAATGCTGTCATTAGAGAACATCAAGACTAAAAGACCAATGAAGAAGCTAGATGTGAAGCAAAGTGGGCCGTACAATGTAGTAGGGCAGGTAGGTTCTCATGCTTGTAAATTGGAATTACCAGGAACGATGGCAGGTATCCATGATGTATTCCATGTTTCATTGCTCCGCCCCTATCATCCTCCAGTATTCCCTGGTCAGCAAGCTGAACCACCTGGCCCAGTAGAGGTAGATAACGTAGGAGAATCGTGGGAAGTAAAGGACATTGTGGACTCTAGAGTAAATAAAAGATCAGGAAAGTTAGAGTACTTAGTAGAGTGGTTAGGTTACGAAGGAACAGACGATTCGGTATCATGGGAACCGGTAGAGAACGTCGATGGAGCTGATGACATATTGGCAAAGTTCCACGAACTTCATCCTACTAAGCCCAAGGAAGGGCGACTGCGGAGGGCTAGGAGGTAGAACGTGCTGCATACAACATAGGATTACAGGTACGTACCGCTCACTTGCCCGTATCCTTACCCTTTCCTTTTCCTTTCTCCTTCGCTCTACTCGGTCCCGCGAGATTGGTGTGGAGAGTACCGATGGCCGAAGGTAGATCGAGACTGTCAGGGGGGAAAACAGTCGAGAGAGAAGCGTTCCATACCCGATTCATAGCCCCAAAGAAATCACCGAAGTCCTGGACATCCCGAGCAGCTTGCATGCTCGGAGTCCTCCACAGAGGACGTATGGTCCTAAGACACTCGGAAGGAAGACTGAGGAGATCGAGAGCAGTCTGAGCAGAAGCAGGGACTCGAGAACTACTCCAGGGGCCTAACCAGCCGATGGACGGTGGTGGCTCGTACGCCATAGGAGTAACAAGGAAGGGGGTGTCGTAAAGTCTTCGGCGAACATCAGCTATCTCAGTAAGGCTTGGGCGAGAGACGTCCGCTAACCTCGTCCTTGCTTCCTCGTTCAGATTCCCACCGTTGACTACATCTACTAACGCCGCAGTAAGGTTATTCAAGGCGTTGGCTTGACGAGTGGAGAGGTCAAGCAAGAGAGATGTATCACGTCGAGCGACGTCAAGCTGAGTGGTGAGGCCGAGAACGAGAGAACGATTCGTAGCAAATTCCTTTTCGTCCTCCGGGATACGAGGGTCCAGGGAGATGCGAGGGTGGATGAAGGACAACCGAGGAACAGAGGGCCCAGCACGCTGAGTAGCTTCATCTTCCACATCACCAGCTTCAAAGACGACCTCTTTCTCCACCCTTTTCCCTTTTGATTTCTTTAAAGAAGACTTTGGAGTCTTCTTGGAAGCGGGGGACGCGGTGACAGGGGCGGCCACTGGGGTGGCCGGAGGAGCAGAGGGACGACGACTTCGGGTGCCGTGGGCCGGAGGAGAAGGCGCCACGGGAGAGGACGGACGAGGGGCCGAAGGACGAGAGACCGAGGGACGAGGGGCCAAAGGGCGACGGGAGGCCGACGGAGGAGCAGGCAGGAGACGTGACGGGCCGGCCACAGGGGCGAAGGGCGACGGCGAGGGAGGCGACAAGCGGGAGGACGGCGAAGCTCGGCGAACCGACCGGAGAGATGAAGACGGTACCCGCAAACGGGGGACAGACGCTGGAGTCTGGGGAGGGGGGAAAGGAGAAGCGTCGAAGGGACGGGGCGGGATGTCCCGGGCAGAGGAAACGGGACAGAAGGAGCAGGGGCCAGACGTGCATGAAGCACAACGGAGGGCCTTGTTGTGTGGCCTGACTGCCTTGAGGCAGGGCCAGTTTGGACGATTATACGTGATAATCTCACGTCTACTAATTAACAGGAGTAACTTCGGCGTAGTACAAATAGGTGGACTCACCGGCAACGATCCCACGCTTCGTCAACACCAACCGCGACCCAACGACCAGGCTCGGACTTCATCTTCTCCCACAAGTACTCTTCTTCCCGCAGTGATCTCTTCACCCGTTTGGGCGAAGGCTCCCCTCTGGGAGAAGGGGGGGGAGCAGCGACGGCGGCGGCAGGACGGGCGGCGGCGGCGGCAGGGCGGGCGACGGCGGCGGTAGGGCGGGCAGCGGCAGCAGCGGCGATGGCGTTGGCGGGGGGAGAACCCCGGAAGAGGAAGAGGAAGAGGACGAAGAAGAAGAGGAGAGGGAACGGCGTCGTTTCTGGCCCACAATTTGAGTAGGGGGAGGGGCAGGAACGGCTGCGAGTTAGCAATGTCTTGGAGAGCTAAAGAACAGATAAACAAGGCCAAGTTCGGCGAAGGTGTGAGAGGGTGGACGAAGGACTCACACTCAGGACTATCTACATTGTTGTCCTCTACACTAAACACCTCCACATCATCATCCGGGTATTCTTCTAACTCGTCTTCACCCTCACTATCGATCCTACCCTCCCGATCATCATCATCCTCACTTTCTTCGGCGTCGGGTCGATCACTCGACTCCGAGCCCCCACTGAGCGAGTCCTGATCGGAGGAGGACGGAGACTCACCAGGACGAAAGGCGGGCGTCTTACGGCGAGGAGTGGCGGCAGGAGGAGGCCCTCCAGGAGAACCCGTTACGGGGACGGGAGAACCAGACACGGGGGAGGGAGAACCAGCGGAAGGAGAGGCGGAGCGAGGGGGCGAGGCAGCGCCAGACGGCTCCCCCAGAGAGAGAGTGCCGAGGCCGAGGGAGGAGACTTGGCGAGATCTGTCGCCGAAAGAAACTGAACATCAGCCAAGTTCGGCGAGGTGGGGTGAGTATCGATGAAAACTCACGAGCAGATGACACCATACCACCAAAGTTCCTCATGGCGGCGAAAGGGCTGGGAGTGGGAGTAGAGGGGGCCATGACGTTAAGATATTTAAAAGAGAAATAAAACTCGAGGCGATTATTCAAGGTAACAAATCTGTTTTCTAGGTAAGAGAGATAGAAAGTTTTGAAAGCAGATGGGGAAAAGAGAGAACCTCGACGAACTGCTCAGAATTTAGTATAATCAAACCTACCCCCTCGTCGTCAACATGCAGCAAACTTCGCGTTTCATCAACAAAAGGCAACACAGGGACGATCAAAATTCCCACGCTATAGTGTCTCATCTCAATATAAGCGAGGGTTACTTCGACAAACAACGGTGTTGTTCGGCTGCCATCCGGGAAGCGTGTCTCACCTACAAAAGACACAGGGCTTCTTACGGCAAACCTCGACGAAGTTAGGGGAGTCTCATTGTCGGGTTTTGGAGTGAAAGGAGGCCCAACTACGAAGTGCGGCGCAAAGAGCAGAAGGGTGAAGGATGGTCATAGGGAGGGAGAGAATGGGGGTACTACGCTGCTAAGTTTTCTTGCCACGGCAGAGGTGTAATCGCTCACGAGGACGTTCGCGGCTAAAGAAGGGGGCGACTGTCACGAACTACGTCGTGACACCTCGATTACTCCACCAACAATGACCCTCCTTTGGCCATCAAAACCCCATCACGCCTTAACCTCTTTACTCTACACGTAACTCAGGACTTCTGAGACCAAGTACGGTGAAGTTAGACGGAGTTAGGCTAAGTAGGGACGATGGGAGCAGAAGTACGGCGAAGTTAGACGGAGTTAGGCTAAGTAGGGACAATGGGAGCAGAAGTACGGCGAAGTTAGACGGGGTTAGGCTAAGTAGGGACAATGGGAGCAGAAGTACGGCGAAGTTGGATGGAGTTAGGCTAGGTAGGGACAATGGGAGCAGAAGTGCGGCGATGTTAGGCGGAGTTAGTCGAAGGAGGAAGAGGATGGCCGAGGGCTCGGGGAAGTTGGACGAAGTACGTTGAAGCACGTCAAAGCGCGAGAGGGTTGGATGAACGTCTAGGAGGAGTAGATAATATTAGCTGAGAAGATCGCTGAAGTTCTTCAGCGATCCTTGATTGTTGTCAGTAGTGAAAGATAGATAGAGATAGCTATTTACAAATCGAGATACATCGCCATCAATAGAATAAGACCCCAGTTAGAGTAACTACGCCGAAGTACGCCGTAGTTATCCCCCCCCTTTCGACGTCTGCGCCCTCCCGGTTGGGTGAGACATCGATTTAGAAGGACCAAGTTAGCCGAGGTTCGTCGACCGTCGGTCTGTTAGAAAGTAGTTGTTCGACGGCCGTGACACTCTCTCAAACACCGACGGTAGACAAACCTCGGCTAACTTCGTACTTCAGGGGTTGGTGTCTCGCCTAAACAGGAGGACGCAGACTTCGATCTGATGGGAACTTCAACGAAGTTTGTCATAGTTGCTATGTTTGGGGGCTTTCACTAAGGGCGATGTATCTCAATGTAGGTGTAGCTATCTCAATCTTTCTTTCACTACTGACAACAATCAAGGATTGCTGAAAAACTTCAGCGATCTCCTCAGCTAATACTATTCACCCCCACTAGATCTTCATCCAACCCATCTGTGCTTCAACGTACTTCGGTCGACTTCCCCGAGTCACCGAGCACCCATTCTCCTATCCTCGCCTAACTTTGCCGTACTTCTGATTCCTTACTCCCTAACCATCCTAACTTTGCCTAACTTCGCCATACTTCTCCTTCCTCTATCCCTGACCAACCTAACTTCTCCTATGTCCGCCGTGTCTGGTCTCAGATGTCCTAGGATCCTTGTCACCAAACAGGTCAAGAGATGATGGCGGTTTGATGGTCAATGGAGGGTCGTTGTTGGTGGGATTTAGGGGTGTCACAACGTAGTTCATGACAAATGGTCAAACGAGGGTTGTTGTTGATGGAATATTGGGGTGATGTAGTCCGTGACAGTTCCCCCATACAAAAGGAGGAAATCCCACCCCCTTTGTAACACCATATCCATCACTTTTCAGTCATTCAGTAAGGTGGGATTTGGTCAATATCTATTTTGTGGCTAGATGAACAACTTTTATCAATGCAACATACATGTTACATGCAATGGAAGATTGATTTGCAATTCCAAAGTGGGGCATGGAAAAGTCACAGCCAAATTACTATGAAAGTGGTGTACCATGAATTCCCGGACCCTACTGTATGACCAGAACGTTCCATGCAAGCAATGATTCTCCATGCAACTGTACTGAAAACAAGACAGCTTGGTTGCAGGTTCGATTGAGCTTGATCAAACACTATGGACTTCTGAGTGATTCTGGTGCAGGGTGTCACGACCCTGCAACCTCAGTCGTGACATCAGGTTATAACCGGCTTGCGATCATACTGCTGATTGCAATATTGTGCCTTTTAGCGCAGTGGCTTAACATGTCACATGCATGGCCAGTGTATGGCCTAGTGCTGGTTAGCCAGGTTGTGACACAGGGTGCTTAGTCAGGTCTCCTCCACAGTTGATTGTCACAAAGGATGTGACAAGTGCAATTCTGACGTGACACCGTGCCAGTGGAAGACAAAGTGTTATGGATTGGCTATTTAAGCTGCAGTGAGCAGTAGAGCTGACTGCCAATTGATAGGCTTTTTGTCACAGTGTCCTGAACACTGTCACGTTCAGCACTGTCATATTGTCCCAATGCTGGCAGGTAGGTCTCGTGTCACAACCCTGCAACCTCAGTCGTGACATCAGGTTATAACCAGATCGCAATCATAGGGCTGATTGCGATATTGTGCCTTTTAGCGCAGTGGCTTAAGATGCCACATGCATGGCCAGTGTATGGCCTGGTGCTGGTTAGCCAGGTCATAACGGAATATCGCAATCAAACAGTAGCAGGTTCGATCCCCACCCAGAGCGCATCATATTTGCTCTGCCACATTGGTGGGATGTGGCAGTGGCGGGTGAGGTCCGCCGCCAAAAGTCTCTCCCTCTGAGAATCGAACCCAAAGCGCTGTCAAACCATAATAGGTTTGGGTACTAAACCTGAAGGCCTCAAGGGACTTCGGCCCTTAAAGGAGGGGCTCCTGTCACAACCCTGCAACCTCAGTCGTGACATCAGGTTATAACCGGATCGCAATCATAGGGCTGATTGTGATATTGTGCCTTTTAGCGCAGTGGCTTAAGATGCCACATGCATGGCCAGTGTATGGCCTGGTGCTGGTTAGCCAGGTCATAACATCTCGCGACATCAATGTAGCCAAAGATTGATATTGAAGATTCAGCAAAGTACCAACTTTGCTGACCAACTCTATATACTATCCACTGTACTATGAACTAACATGTCTCCTGCTGCTAGTGTCTGTGTACATACTCTGACAAGTGAAAACCCTCTTTTGAGCCAACCCATTTGGGAAAAACCTGAAAGAGGAAAACCCGTCCCTACCTAATGCAGCCTTTCCCTATCCGCTTCCATCCGATTCCATCAAGTTCAATGCCCCTTCCCTGATGGTCTTTACCCTGTAACAAGAGGCCACTTCCATCACCCCAAGCACTGTCTTCTGCAGTGTGTCTGTTGATCAAACCAGCTCAGTCTTCAAGTTGCCTTTGACAGAGAGGGATCAGGACAGTTCATGCCCAGTCTTGTTGTCAGGTTATGAAGCAGTGTGTGATCATATTCGTCAGGAACAGTGATTGTAGGGGGGTGATAGATGGCTTTCTCACCAACAAACCTGAGACCGGTGGGCAGATCCTTGCCCATGAGTTCACTTATCAGCCCCCTAGCCAAAAAGTCATCCAACTGGTCTTTCAGAGACTTCAGAGGCTCTTCTTGAGAGTATCCCTGGTGATCAAAAATGGTTCCTGTTTCCGGATAAATTGCCAAAGAGTCCAAGAGGAGAGTGACTTGGGTGGGATCCAGTCCATCCAGTTCATGACGAAGCAGAGCTGTCCTTACTTCAGGAAATGGTAGTTTCTGACCATGTTGAATGCCTAGCAATCCTCGAACACTTTTCAGTCTCTGAGCCACCTCCTGATCTGTCAATTCTCTCGTCAGTGAGGACACCTGCAACTTCGAATAATTGAAGAGGGCTGTGGCTTTCCTTTTATGGGCTTGTTTGCACCAAGTCTTCACTGTTTCAGGTATATCATCCAGATCTATGACAGATGTGAATGCTGTCGACAACTTACTGTTCTTCTTCTTCTTCTTCTTCTTCTCGTTTGGAATCCCGCAAGTGCTCAAATTCACACCATTGTCCGGACTAGTTCCATCAGTATTCCCTCCTGTGTAGGTGCCTCCTGGGGAGTAGTGGGTGTCAACCGTATCTGAGGGCTTTTCGGTGGGCCGGGCTTCATCTTCTGAGTGTCCGCCAGTAGAACTGTCAAGCAAGCTGGATGTTTCAGAGCGCGTGTCCTCTGAGTCAGCACTTCGGTCAGAGTTTGAAGAATGAAGGCCGGATCCAGAGTAATTTGCTGGGCTCTGGTTTCGAGCCACAAGATCCTCCACAATTTCAGGAATATCAGGAGAAGATGAAGGAGGGCTTTGTCCCGTTTTATTGGGCTGTGTTGAGGCTTGTGTACTGATCATGTGCGGCTCTTTAGAGCCGCTGAGACCAAACACGGAGGAAGCATACGGATCGGGTGACAACGCATTGAAGTCTTCAATACTACGTCTCACAGCAAGCGTTTGGGCATTCTGCAATTCAGGATCTGAGGCGCTGCGTCTGATCGCGTGTAAGTCAGGGGGACCTCCGCCGGAAATTGAGAGAAATGATGAGAATGGCCCAGGAGATGTTTCCCCGTCCCTCACGTGCGGCCCTTCCGTGTCCTCTGTCATTCTTGATTTCGCTTATAATTAGATGATAATACAGAGGGGAAAAAGAGCATGCATCAATTCTACATGTCTCTATCCTTATCACATTCCACTCACACGCATAAAACCAGAGACGATCGAATAAAGTTCAGAGGATAAGTTGAACGGAGAAATATTCGACGGAAGGGGTAATTCTAACGGCGGTTCGGCCGTCCTGGCCCGATTCTATCGGCTAACAATTCTCTTTGTGCATACTGTCCCTCAAGCTTATAGAAGGTTCTACAAAGTGTCAGAGAATATCCAATGTATGTAACTGTTGTCCGTTTGTAGTAAGGATGATTGAATGAACAGGAGATAACCAGGGTTTTCTAGGTCTTTATAGACATGGCTAGAATATCCGCCACCTACTCCACCTCCATCGTGAGAAAACGATCGAGGCGATGAACGATCCTTTTTCCCTTTCTCGAGGCTTCGAAATGGTTGTCCGGACGGATCTTGATGAGTTCGGCGTGGCGATACGATGATTCTCTCTTCCCCGGCAACCCGTATGGTTTCCCACGGTTATTTGAAATTTGGAGGTTCTCACGGTCCCACGCTCCCACGGATTCATGGTCTCACCCTCTCAATGTAAGAACAGAGACGACAAGGAGATGGTACTCTTTCCTTTCATCATCGTTTAAGAGACTAGTTCTCTGTTTCACCTTTCTTCTTCTGAATCGCTTAGGTAGGGAAAGAGCGTCTGGTTTCACCCTCTTTGAGCCTCTTTCATTCTCATGATGTTCAGATTGGACCTTCTCAATGTGGAAAGAAGTACGAATCGAGGTCGAGGATTTGGAAATATTCCTTCCTTTCATCCTGTCGACTTGACCGACTTGCACTGCTCTCCTCACTCTCGGAGGCATGAGTTGAAGGCTGAGACTTCGATATTTGACTTGACCGACTTGGACTGATCTCTTCACTCTCGGAGGCATGAGCTGGAGGCTGAAACTTCGATATTCGACTTGACCAACTTGGACTGATCTCCTCACTCTCGGATCTGTGAGTTGAATGCTAAAACTTCAACATCTTCGCCTCTCCTGATCCCTCTTTGATAGTGCATGAACGTTGTCGCCGAAGAAGGACATCAAAATCAGGAAGGTGGGTTGACTCGATGTGGAGGGGGGTTGAGATGGGTACGTTGAAACTCTTGAAAGACGTCCGATTGTACGTGTATTGCTCCTCACTCCTTTGTTGTCTCGGAAATCATCATGGGAACCAAGATTCGTCTAAATAGTGAGTCTCTGGCTGTGTTTGTTTCGCCGTGCGTCGCGTGACTTTCTTTCCTACGCCTCACCAAATGTACATGATCCACTTTCCTAGTAGATCTCAAACCCACCACCTGTCCAAGATCAAAGGTACACCACCTCTAGTTCCATACATGAACGACTCACAAGTAACTTCCCAATCATTTGAACGATTCGAGTCCGAGTAAGGACGGCCGTTTACATCCTTTCATAACGATACGACATGTGTCACTCCATCCCCTTCCGTACCCGACAAAGGAAGTCACGAACGTCCATTGATCCGATGCGCACGGAGTTACATGGGGGTCGAGTGAAAGGTAGGGTACACATGTTACTTGTTTTGACCTGAGATAGATTATTCCATCTTGCGTAGTGTTCTGCGTCAACGCCCTCTATTTGTTTATTACCTTCTTCCTCTTGGTGTCGTGGGAGATCATAGATCATTCGTTTTTGAGACTTGTACGTAGAACCCTGGTGGTTCTTGATTCGAGCCGATTCATTCGACGGTTATACACTGAGCGAATAGCTTAGTGGACGAAGAAGGGCGAGAGAGGTATTGTCTCGTAGATAATTGACAGTTGGACGGAATAGAGATAGAGACATCGATAGTGAGTGGACGTTCAACATTCATCAAAGATATTGACCCGGAAGGATAAAGTGTCACGTATTCCGTGTGGCACGTAAGCGTATATCCGGAGGAAGAACCATCGATTTAGAAGATTCCAAGATGCCTCGAGTTCTCGGATTGTCCGGATTGGTCGTATCGCTCTTCGTACTGGGCATGGCAAGGGCGTGTTGGTATTATTTGTACCTGGAAAGTCCTCAGACTTATTGGGAGAGGAGTTGTGCATGTAATGTGAGTAAAAATGATTGTTTCCCCTTGATAAGCATTGTTGTTTAACATAATCACTCGAGTAAAACATATATGAAGGAAAGGGTCAGTCACAGAGGGGGTCTTGACTCAGCACTCGTGGAACATGTAAAGGTGTGATCGAGTAGTGAAAAGAGGTCATAAGGCAGATTGAAAAGAGACAGAAGTTGAGAGATAGAAGAGATATAGAGGGCAACTGAGAAACAGTGTGAAGCTCTAGTAGCATCATCAGATCCAAACGCTTGGTCATGTTGTTATCCACTCCCATCTAATTCACCAGTACCTGAAGTATGTTCATCATTATCAATAGCAAATTGTCAAGCAACACCTTCATTAGCATCTCAATGTTCTGCTATAAGTGTACCAACGACCGATATAACATATTCTACTTCAGTTCAATATGTTTATTCTTTTCCTTCTTGGACACCTTCAGTAACACCTTCTTCTTCTGCTCCAATGTCTTCTGTATCTTCTAAACCTGATCAAGGTGGTGGTGGTGGAGGAGGATCAACAAGTGTTACAACGAATTATAACGCAGGAACAACAACAGAAGTTAGTGGAACGGTCACTACTTGGTTTACGGCTACTGTGACTTCTTTTGTACGTTGTGAAAGTGCAGTTTCAACTTCAACTTCAACTTCAACTTCAACTTCTTCTTCAAGTTCTTGTACAGAATCAATCAGTTCAGCTTCTAGTCAAGTATCAAGTTCGAGTGTATGGTCGGATAATTCAAGTTCAAGCTCTAGTTTGAGTTCAAAGAAATGTGATAATTGTGGAGAAAGTTCTAGCTTGGGGACAATCAGTAGTAATGCTGCTATTTCAACCACTGTCAGTTCATCTATGGAGAACAGTTCGAGTGGACAAGAATCGAGTACTAGTTCAAGTTGTTCCACCAGTTCGGCAGCGGCGGCTGTGACGAGTAGTACGATACCTATCGGGTGAGTTTTTATTAGTTCACTTGAGCTTCTTTCCTGTTTCCTGAATACTTCTCAACTCTCAACTCCTCAGACGTGAGATTTCCCTTTCCAAGATGTATGAGATATGTCAGGTGGATCACCTCTCAATCTCTCACCACTTCCGATTATCTCAATCTTCATAGAGGATAGGGGAAGTTGAGTTGGAGGGCTGGGAGAGTGAGGGCAAAACGGTGGTGTGAAGCAGAAACAGACCGGTATCTTCAAGGTGTGGGGAAAATCAAGAGAGCGAATGGACTTTTCGTTTGAACTGATTCGATTGTGAGTTGAGAAACACTGACAAAATAGCGAAACACCTCCTCCTGGGTACACACCAGGAGGTAATTGGAAACGTTCCATCGCTACACCATTACCAAAAGTCCCTCCCAGACGTAACATCTTCCAACGTGAAGTAAACCTGGAAGAAAGAGCTGGAGAAGATACGACTATAAAGCAACGAGATTCACATTCGGATGAAGTTGAACCAAATAATGAAGTGGAGAAAAGAATCAACTCACCAAATCACGGTAGATTAGGTTTGGAACAACCAGGTAAACGTCATCGACCCACTAAGATAGAAGCTAGAGAAACTCCAGATTGTACAAGTACAACCACCACGACAACTTTGATTTGTACTACCGATTCTAATACAAGTTCTAGTTCTTCTAGTGGATCACAAGATAGTTCGAGTTCTTCCAGTGCACAACAAAGTTCGAGTGATGTAGGGACTATCAGTTCAAATGCCGCTGTGAGCACTACGGTAAGTTCTGCGAGTAGCTCGGTTAGTCAGCCTGACACTGGTGAGTTTTGTGTCATTTTCTAGTACATCATCAACATGGACTGTGTCACCATTTCGTGACTTTTACTCATTCTTATGATTTGGTTTGAGGGAAAGAGGACAGGACGAGAGAACGGCCAGAGTGAATTGAGAGGAGGGAGGATCAGATGGGAGGTAGGGATAGATTACTCACTGACTAACAGGCGAAACACCTCCTTCGGGTTATAGCGGTGGATGGAAACGTGCCGAGGCGACTGGAGGCAGACTTGGTAGAGATCTTTAATTGTTCGATGTATGATAGTGTCGTTTCTCTTTTCAAATATTGGATAGTTCCTCCATGCTGTCCCTGTTTGTCAGTACAACGACGATGCTCTTCTACCTTTAAGGGGGTGAAGGTAATCGTTTTGCAATCAGCATAAACGCCACCAAGAAATCATCTGTCCGCCTCGTCGGTGGACCCTGCCGGTATGTTGAGATAGCCTACTGGTCTGCTACTGCTTCGCCGTCAGGTCACAACAGGGGTGTTCGGTGTCTTCGTTCTCGCCGTCGTCATCTTTGTTGTTGTCATCGTCGCTGTTACTTATGATGGTGCTGTTGTGGGTGAAAGAGGAGCCCCGCGTCAAGGTTCCGACGGAAGCAAAATTTCCCTCCTCCGTCTCTCCTCCACCTCTACTACTTACTACTCTACAATTACTTGTACTCTACAACCTTGTAACCATCTCCTTATCACCGTGTGAGACTTTGGATCAATGGTCAAATCTTACTTCCGTCATGGTCCTACCCAGGTGAGTCAACATCTGCTACAGAGATACCAGGAGAAAAACTGACGTCAGGCATTCGGAGTCATCACTTCTCCTACTGCCAATTGCGCCTACGATGGGAAATTAGCCTATGTCCCTGCTTGGGAAGATGTATTAGTATGGGATATGAAGCTAGGTGAAATGGTCAGTCTATTTTCCATCCTCCCCAACCCCTACTATTGTCCAACTCACCCTTAGGTATCAATGTGGCATTCCCCTTCTCTCATCTCACCCATCACCCGTTTACTTCCTTCCCCATCTTCCAACCAAACCTTCGCCGTAGCTTACCAAGATGGTTCTATACGTCTTTGGTCATCTTCCCCTCCGACAGAAATAGTAACTTTCAACGGTCATAGGAAATCTCCCACTTTCTTAGCTTGGGACGACCAAGGAACCAGGTTAGCTTCAGGTGGGACAGAAGGTGAAATCGTAATCTGGGATGTGGTAGGAGAAGTAGGGTTGTATCGTCTCAAAGGACACAGAGGAGCTATAACAGGTTTGAAGCTTATACCTTCTACAAAAATGAGAGGATCAGGTTGGTTAGTGAGTTGCAGTAGGGATAATTATTTGAAATTATGGGATTTGAGTACACAACATTGTGTTCAGACTGTTGTTGTTGGAAGAGGGGAAGTGGTTTCCTTGGATATCATTGAAGAGGTCATCGGTCTCGGAGGTGAGAGTCTCTTTCACTCCCTTACCATCTCAGTTCTTCTCTCCGGGTCGGACGGGCATCGTCTCTCACATAAGCTTTCTCCGTTCTTGCTACACAGTTCCCAATCATACCCATATCCTCTCTCCCTTGTACCACTCACCTCTTGTCTCCCTCACAGCTAATACATCTGATTCATCGTCTGCTCTGCTCAAACTAGCTCAAATACTGCTTGAGTCTCAATCTATACCGGTAGGGTGGGGAAAAAGCTCCCGGCTGACATCTCAGATGAAGACACCGAGGTGCATGCCGAGGAAGAGGGTGTCGATGAAGAGAATCAGAAAAGGGGTAGATGGTTGGTCGTCACCGGCTCTGGTGATGGTGAGGCGAAAGTATGGACCATCGAGAAGTCTGATCTAGCCCGAGGGTTGAAAACGACGGATGGAGAAGTGAGTTCATTTCTCCTTTTCTTCGCAAAACCATCCACAAGCCTTTTGACGGTAATCCACACATCGAAACACTGCTGTGTGTCCTTGAAAGTGAGGACAATGGTGCTGATCCCAGCTCGGAACATTCGTCAAACCCCTCTGTTCCTTACCTCTTCCGTCAAACACTCAACCTATCTCTCAAATATCTTTCCACCCCACTCTCCCGTTACTTCTGTTGCAAAATGGCGAGAGAACCATAACGGTTTTGAGGATACGTACCGAGGAAGAAGTCGGGGCGAAACGTGCTAGGAGGAAGAAGCGAGAAAGGGAGAAGGGGAAGAAGAAACAACTTCCTCTTCTTGCATCTGCTACGAATAAGTCTGGGCTGACTGAGAAAGGAGATGACGTGGGGGAGGAAGGTGTAGAGAAGGGAACAGAGGGAGGGGAGGAAGAAGAAGGAGATGATGGAGATCAAGTCAAGTGGGAAGAAAAGTTGACAAGTTTGTGTGTGGTCCGGACGAATGCCAAAATACGTTCCTTTGCATTCGACGAGGAAGTGGGTAAGGGGGGTGTATCTGTAAGTATCAAAATTCACCGTCACTGAGTCCCGACCTTCAAATCCTTCACGCTGCATTGCTTCTTTTGTGGCTTTCAACATCTATATACCCGTGCCTCCATGTCGTTACTCACCAAATCAAAGCTTCGCTTCTGTCTCCCAGAACCACTATCGCTCTATTTCTCGTTTGTTTTGTTTCAACGGCCCGAAGGGAGAATCACCACCTAACAATGCAGGTCCTCGTTCAACTCTCCAACAACTCTCTCGAAACTTACACCCTCCCACTTCCTTCTTCCTCATCTCGTAAACTTAAAAACCAGTCAACCGAACCCATCAAAACCCACTCCCTCGAACTCCCCGGACATCGACAAGACCCTCGTACACTTTGCATCTCCTCTGACGATCAAGTGATCGCTTCAGCCTCTTCCGGAACATTGAAACTTTGGAACTCCCGTACCACCGCATGTCTTCGAACGATGGAATGTGGATATGCTTTATGTTCCACATTCCTCCCTGGTGATCGACATGTGGTGATAGGTACTAAAACCGGTGAATTGGCATTATACGATATCGCCGGCTCGACATTATTGGAAAGTTATAAAGTTCATAAAGGTCCCATTTGGGGTATACAGGTAAGACCGGATGGGAGAGGTTTGGTAAGTTGTAGTGGGGATCATGATGTTAAATTCTTTGATTTTTCATTCATCGAGGAGGAAGAACAAGAACCATCTCAAGTTTTGGACAAATCCTCATCGAATCCTCCATCTACCAATGGGCTCAAATACAATGCTGCGAACGGAAAACCGGCTAAAGATATAACAAGAGTTACCGGTGTGATGGAAGACAACAGAGATTCAAGATCAACTCGAATCAAACCTAAACGTTTAACTTTGATACACACTCGAACGTTAAAATTAACAGACGATATCTTATCAATAAGATTTTCACCAAATGGTAAACTTTTAGCGGTGGCATTATTAGATACGACAGTCAAACTCTTCTTCACGGATACATTGAAATTCTTTTTATCTTTATACGGTCATCGATTACCTGTTTTAAGTATGGATATAAGTGATGATAATAAATTATTGGTTACTTGCGGAGCTGATAAAAGTGTGAAGATTTGGGGATTGGATTTCGGTGATTGTCATAGAAGTTTATATGCTCATGATGAAAGTGTTATGAGTGTTCGTTGGGAAAAAGGTGGACATATGTTTTGGAGTGTTGGGAAAGATGGGTTATTGAAATATTGGGATGGTGATAAGGTGGGTTTGAAGTATTTTTTCTTTGTTTTGGTTTGGTTTTACTTCCGCTTTTGAGACGACTTTTACCTGGTTTATTCTGGAGTCAAACGTCTGCACAACATTTCCATTTCATTAAATTACAATCTCCTTCGAGTCTGAACCTATTCTTTCGTGTTTTCTTTATTTTTCCCTTCTACATATTCCAGCTCGGACTTCATCCCTTGCTATTTTGCTTAGTATTCATTCCCCATGCTCTACCCATCATTCCCTTCCTGGCCCTCACGACAAACGCATGATTCTCGAAAGTGGTTCAGAAGATGGACAAGTACGGACAACATACGTTGATGATCCCCCTTGTCCACCACCACAAAGCATCTGTCCGAGCATCATATACCTAATCTTCATAGACATTCCTGACAGACAGTTCGAACTCGTCCAAACTCTCCGGGGTCACCAAGCCGAAATCTGGTCATTGGCAGTATCCAACAACTCTTCTTACGTAGTTACCTCCTCTCACGATAAATCAATCAGGATATGGGAAAAAACCGATGAACCTTTATTCCTAGAAGAAGAAAGGGAGAAAGAGTTGGAACAGATGTACGATACTAACCTCGTCGATTCTTTAAATCCACGTGTCGAGAAAGAAGGTGGTGAAGAAGTTGAAGGTGTAGGTAAACAGACTAACGAAAGTTTGATCGATGGTGAGAAGATTGTGGAAGCTTTGGAAGTTGCCGAAAGGGAGAGAAAGGGTTTGGAGGAATGGAGGGTTGAAAATGGACTTGCAACGAACTCCAATGATCCATCGTCAATTACTGTACAGTCAACCTCTGTCGTAGGAGATCAATCGAAGGTGATAACAGATGAAAATGGGGAAGTAAAGAATTTGACGGAAAAACCTACAAGACCGACGGAATTGGAATCAGCGAATATGTCAGGAGGGCAATACGTTTATAAAGTCGTCAAGGGTGTTAAAACGGCAGGGATGGAGGATGCTCTGGTGGGATTATCTTTTGGTTCAGCTATGAGTTTATTGAGGTATCTGAATGAATGGGCTAAGGATGTGAGTAAAATGGGTTCCTTTTTTTCCTTTCCTCTTACAGTTCATTCCATCACTTGATTCGAGACTGTTGACATGATACCACATGTCATCATTTTGTCGTTCATCGTGAACATGCCCCTCTGTTCACTTTCACATTGGAAGTGAGGGTGTATCATCGTCACATATCAAGTTGCCGTATATCCTCGTCATGTCACAAGTTATGGTATATCCTTGATCATTCGTTTTTACATTTTTACCTCTTCTTCCTTGTATTCAATCCCATATCCTCGACGTCCTCCGAACCAAGATAGAACTCCACGACCGATATGACGAACATACGAATTCACACAGGCTATGATGATCATCGCTATGGAAATCCTCCCAGACGGATATCAAGAACAATTGTTGATTGTGTCTTTCTTCGAAGATTACTGACAAAGTAGAATATCGACCCAATTCTCACAGCCCGTATAGCCCGATTCATACTTTCAACCCATTCCACCCAACTGGTAGTTTCGAGAGACCCGATCATCCGTTCTATAATCTCATCACTCCGTACGAACCTACGTAAGAATTTGACGATGGAAAGAGATAGAGTTGGGTATAATTTAGCTGGTTTGAGGTATTTGAAAGGAAAGTATGAATTGGAATCAGGGAGTACATTTGTGGATACGTTTGAAGAGGTGGAGAAGAAGGGTAAAGGGGGGAAGAAGAGGAAGAGGGTTGAGGTGAGGGTGTGATTGGGATGATTGGGGATGGAATTTGACAATCAAACTGGAATTCTTGTTGTGTTTCTTTGGACACCAATGACATATGAGTCTATCTGCATGAACAACATGGATTTGGTGTAGATGAAATACTTTTGAAATGATTGTTCAGTCGCATGGTTTAATAAGGAAAAAGATTACACGAGTGACGATCGACGGTAAACCCAACTTTTTATGCATTTTACATGTGCATCTTCATCTCAACATTTCAAGGGCACGCACAGTACTCGTAGAGTACTCATATTTTAGTTATACGGATCAACTGAAATCATCGTATTTCAGTACATCTGAGAAGATACAATGTTGGATTGGCAACATGCGATATTATGATGTAATCGGTTGGATGAGAGAGTATAAACCTGAATGAAGATATCGGGTGGTATAGGTACGTACTTCAGATGAGTTTATGTCCTATCACCTATCAGTGAGTCAGTGAGTCAGTGAATCATGAATCAGTACGGAGCACGGAAAGAGCTATTCAAGTATAATTTTGTCCAAGACTCTCAAAGTGGAGGATGGGAGTACATTCGGTAGGCCTACAGTATATTTGACAGTAAGGTAAGAGATGTAAGTAGGATTTCATGATTTTCATGATTTCATTTCATCTACTTTTTGTCTTATGTACATATTTTACTTCATATCATTTGTCTTCTGTCTTCGTTTTGTCATTTCTCCTTGTCACCTTGTCATCTTTTCAACTATTCAACTTTTCAACTTTTCAACCTTTCAACTTTTCAACTTTTCAACTTTTCTCTTTGTCACGTTTTCATCTTGCCATCTTCTCATCTATTCATCTACTCATTACTCGTCCAATTGATGTTGTGCTTTATATACAGTATGTTCACATCTACACGATTCTCATCTCGACCATATACTCTTGTCTCTGATTTCACTCCTGATTCCTTCTTCTCAAATCTAATGATATATCATCCTCTCCATATTAGATCTCATGTTCCCATTCTGATCTTTTGCGTGTGTACCCCATCACTCACTCGCTGCACCTTCATTCACTCATCCGACTTTCCCCATGCGCTATACAGCTTTTCTACCTCGTGTGTATTGTCACTTCCCTTATCACTCGGATTATCCCTAGCCCTATTTCTTTCATTGATGGAGATTCCAAATACAAACGACCTCTTTGATGATTTATACAGTAGATTGACTGATGATTTCTCACAAAGGTTTTTCTGAAGCTCTCTCGTTCAATTGTCTTCATTTCTCATCAAGTGAATTGTTTTTATCTCTCATCGAATTTCGACAAATATCATTCTATTGTCGATGATGATACCTTGATCCTACAGACGAGATACATCTTCCGCCGAGGACGAGAACGAGGAAATACCTTTCCCAACAATTTTAATCTTCCTAACTTTGTGTTTGGACGTATTAGAAGACTCCCCGACATTCATCCGAGACACAGAAGAAAAGGTAACTGATTCACTAGGACTAGCAGTGGAGATTTGATTTGTTCGAGAAATCATCGTTGGATCATATTTTTCCCGCGTGGACAATATCTCCGACCGTGGTTCGATGGAAGGGGAAGGAAGACCAGAAGAGACAGAAGGAGATACATCATTCCTAAAAGTCGAAGAATGTCGAATGATAAATGTAGGAGAAAGACTCTTCGTTTGACTCTGACTGACTCTTTGTCGTAATGTCCTCGGAGCGTAAATATCCACTTCCTCAGGGATTTTAAAAACGTTTATATCTCCTTCTTCTTCAGATACTTCGATATATCCTTTCCAACCTTTTTGCAATTTACCCCTGGGACGTTTATTGTCTGGTCGAGCCGACGAACTCAAAGTGAAAGTAGAGTCGTGAGATAAAGGTTGATAAGTTTTGGAAGAAGTAGAAGAAGGAATGGATTTCAATGGGAAACGTATATCAGGTTGGTTCATAGTCAACGAGGGAGGTTGAAGAGAGTGTTGTTGTTGGCTGCTTACCGTGGGGGTTGTCTGTGATACTCGGAAAGATCTCTTCGGCCGGATAGGAGAAAGAGAACAAAGTGGGATATCAGGTGAGGAAGGTGTTTCCGAAATGAGTCTGTTTAAACTTTTCTCTGTCCCATTAGGATCATTGACGGTGAGATGACCAGATTCACCGTTGTTTGTCGTATTCGAAACGGAATAACGTTCTTCAAAGATATCAAGTAATGACCCAAAAGAAGATTCCCGATGGAAAGGTTCTCGATCATGATAGTCCTCCTGTTCGGAAATATCATCAAGGTCCATGTCCATAGATGCCTCATCTTCTTCTAGCAACATCTTGGATTCACATTCATCTTGTGTAATCGTGACAACGTTCGTTCCCTCAGTCTCTTCAATTACCATAGACTGTACTTCCTGATTCCCTGGGTTTAGATCATCCTCCTGATCGCATACATCTTCCATCGGTTTCTCAACGACATAATTTTCTGACTTGGCTGATTGGTCTCGAGACCCAAGATCTACGTTGATTTCAGCACCTTTAATATTGGTTTCGAAGACAACATCGTCTCCTCTACATTCCTCAACATCCATACTATCTTTCCTGAATGTTCCACTCTTCCTTTCGAGCGACTCCACCGTCGTCTCTGTGGAGCACTGTAGGTTGATCGATTCATGCAGAAAAGTGCTGGGAGATGAAGTGATAAGTGACTCGTGCAGGGGAGTTGTTGGAGATGAAGCAGTGAGATCAATAATCTTGGTACTTGGCGTGTCTTGCAGATCGGCCGGCGACGAAGCTGTAGCCTCGACAGGATCTGCCGTGCCCGGACAAGTACCTCTGGCGGAGACACATGGTTTAAGGCTGATGTCTGGGCATACGGTGTTTCTTGGGATCTCTATCTGGCTGATGGTACCCGTGTCCATCAGTGCACTCTCTCTTGGTGATCCTTGAGCCAAAGTCAGACTGCTGGAAGCAGTGAGATCAATGACCTCTGATCTCGCTTTCCCGAGTACAACTCCAGGAGTCCCAGGACCGGATGACAAATGAGTTCCTATTTCGCCAGTTTGACCAGGAACCACAGAAGCAATCGATTTCGCCGGAACGGCGGACTTGGTAAACCCGCGCACCGGTTCTGGGCGGGGGAACAGTAAGAAACTGTTCCTAACTGTTTTCCGTGCAAACACCGGGGGCCGGTTGTGCAGCTCTTCTGGCGGCGGCGGGGCATCATCTCTGGACTGTTGCGGTTCGGAGACTTGAGTTCGAGATACCGAAGCTTCTCTCAGAGGTAATGGAACAGGCGCAGTGATGAGACGAGGTGGGAAGGATTGTTTTCCGTAGTTGCTTTTACGTTTAATGAATAATGAAGATTCTTGTTCGTTCATACGGGGTCTAACAGCTTGAGCGACTTTGGTCTCACCTGGTAAACTGGGTCGTATTCGGGTGGTATCCGGGAGATCTTGTATGATCTTTGATAGTTGATCATTCTGTTGTGATTTCTCCACTGAAAGACTGGCATCTCTGATATTCTTCTGAATTACTTCAACTGGCGTATGTGCGATACCCTCAACATCGCCCAGCTTTACACCGCCAGGCATACGTGCAATATCCTCAACATCCGTCTCTGTCTCACCCACTGGCGCAGGTGCCTCGGCCTCAAGGGCCTTTGGTCCAGAGAAGCAGGGCTGAGGAGGACTTCGAATGGTGCTGTCGACTGATAGTTTTCTCTCCTCACATCCGACTTCCGGCGTGAGATCAGTGTCTATGCGATGAAAACCAATGTAAAGCGTACCACTGGGAGGTGTTGGGAGTGTCAATTTCGGAAGTTGTTTGATCCATTTCCGTGGACCTATTGGTGGTAGTTTCTTTTGTAAACCTGTATCTAACCCAGATTGTGAAGCGCCAGCGATAATTGTGTGAGGGGCAGATTTTTCATTGATAGGTTTCTCAGACTTTCCGGATGGAACCTCTGGTGGTACTGTGTCATACTCTTCCCTTCCAGTATTGTGAGGTGAACAATTCCCAGATGAAGACACTGTAGAAGATACAGGTCGTGATGGTTCACTCATGGGTTCTTTCCGAGAATCACGTTCCAATGGTAAAGGATGTCCGGACGGGGGAGGTAAAGAATTTGATCTTTCGGAAGGTGAAGCAGTTGTTGGTGGAGTTGGTAAATGATTATTCTCCTGAGGAATGAACCCTTTCGGTCCGGACATCGTTCTTTCTCCCTTGTCCTCGTCATTGGAATATTGCTCGTTTTTCTCTCGACGACTTTCCCTCTCTCTTTTCTTTGGATTTATATTGTCATCAGAAGCCCCGTTCCCAGAAATGGAAGAAGTGAGTGGAATTTTAGGACGGATTCGGGGATCACGACTTTTGTCGTAGTTTGATACGACCCTATTTACCATTGCAAGACCTACTGGCGCAATGGTGTGAGGAATAGAGTCGGTAGGGTTTGCGGATTTATCGATGGGACCATGTGTGGATGTCTCAATGAAGTTGAAAGGGGTACATTGCTTGAGTGTGGACGTAGGCTCATTGAGGTGAAGCATCGTTGCGGTAGGACTGGGCGCAGATGCTGATGCTGATGCCCCGTGGGTTGGACTGTCAATCGAGAAATTATCCGAGATGCGAGGAATCAACAATGAGCCAGTCTCAGACGACTGGATTCGGTACGCTGAGTTCAATCTTGAGAAAGGAAGAGGTACGTCGGAAGCAGAAGTGGGGATGGGTTGAGGGATGAGGTAATGTTCCGATCTAGAGGGTAGGGATCTATCTCTGATTGTCAAAATGATTACGGTCACAGATTGTCTTATTGTCGCACTGGCCGAGTTTCTAAAACGGCCGTCCGAGTAAATTGGGAGAATGGTAAGAAGAGGTGTGATGCAGGATGAAAGGTGCTCAGACCAGATTCAATTGCAGGAAAGAGGAGAGTAATGGATGATAGGAGGTGTTCAGACCAGACTAAGATACAATAAAGACCAGAGATATAACGAAGAATGAGCAGTTTGAAACTCACGTAATTCTCCATCTTCCCCAAGATACCTCTCCCCCAAGATAACCATACACAGCACAATCGTAAGCCCATCTAGTATCCAAAACCAAATTATGTCTCCATTCATGTCTCACTACCTTGAGTAACTCTTCAGGATCCCAAGCAGGTAGAAGGACCAGTATATGACTTGCATGGATGTCGGAATTGACAATTTCTGCTCCTAGCGACTGTTCATCAGTCAACATCCTCTCATTCTCTGCACTGGGCGTCGTGTCTCTTCCCGACGTGCGTCTCACTTGTCTGCTCTGAGATATTCTCTAAACTCGATAGAAGTGTTGAGTTGATGCAGCTGCGCGTGAGGGAGATGTATCGGAGAGAGGGGAGTCTGACCAACTCACTCTTAACATCGACACGTAATATTCCCATCCATCTTTCCCCCACCCAACCCTTTGTCCGAAGGGAACATACATTCTACTTCCCTCAAAAACGCGATTACATTCTTTTCGCATAGCCATCCTTTCCGCAGGGGTTTGAAGTGTATCTTTCAACTCATTGCTTTGCGTTGGTATTGTCTTTAATGGTCTAAGATATTCCTTCGACGAAGTTCCATCGATTTTCGTGTATCTGGGATGATCCATGTTGACTATGTTGATGACAGGACTGTTACTTCTGGTAGACTCTGTCATATCGAGATACGGCTCAGGATGACGGTACACCTGCTTATCTATGACACTGAAGTGACGACGGTCGCTACCTCTGATATCTTCACGGTTGTGAAAGTCATGATGGTGATAGCCGGGCGTTCTTCCAGTCATTACATTCTCTCCGACAGGTTGCCTAAGAGTTGATCGATTTTTCAATTCGTGTGTCTCATAGTTTTTTGGAGTACGTCCCCCAACGGGTGTTCGCGATCCTGCCATGTGGTCGCCGAGCTTCGTATGATACCTGGGTCCGCGGGGGATGTTCATGTTCCCTATTGGATCTAACCTTGTAGTCTGACCGATGAACCTAGGTGTTTGCCTACCGTCGAGCTCGTACCTTTCTGAATACCTTGATGTGTCAATTTCGTACAATAAGTGACTACCATATGCTGGGGTTTGTCCGCCATTGGAACCGAACCTCTTAGTGATAGCCGGTGTCCGTCCGCCATCATCGTGACTTACACCATAAATGGGCGTCTGACCACCATTTCTAATCTTCGGAGTTTGTCCGCCGTTCAAATCGTATCGTCGTTCAGGACCAGATGTGTGCCATCCAGGCCTAGGTGTTTGTCCTCCGTCACCATACCTTGGTGTCTGTGCGCCATGACCTGGCGTTCTTCCACCATCTTTCAACGTGTGTGTACCCCTACTCGGTGTCCACCCTCCATACCCTGCAATACTCCCTTCACTCACATCATGTCTCGTAACTCGATCTTCGCCATCTTCAAACCCTCTTGCAGACTGTTTATAGCCAGGTAGGTCGGTGTCACCAATCGCGTATCCTTGTGTATAGTATCCAGGATCACGGTCTGTCGATTCTCTCCGCCGACCGAAAGTGTCGTTCTTGATCCCTTGCGCGTATCTCTGTCGCCATGAAGAATGTTGGAAACCTGGGGATAGCATCTTGTCTCCTCACTCTTCCAGCGGATGCTACTCAAAGGACCAGTTTCAAGTGCAGTGTCTGTAAGACCAGTGCAATTGAGGTGACATGTAGATTTCGGTTACGCGTAGCTCCACCAGGCGGTCCGAGCGCTGTGAGGGTGGGGGTTCTATCGGGTCAGCAGTAGGTGAGGTCGTGTTAGATGGTACTCACATACTGTGTTATTTGCAATTCTCAGATGAAGGGAGAGGGACCGAAGGGATGAGAAGAAGGAGGTGTGCGAAGGAAGGAAGGATGAAAGAGAGGAGAAGAAAGGTATCCGGGGTGGATGGAATGATGGGGAGAATAGGTCAAAGCGGGTTTGAGGCCGGCATGACCGTGGGTGAGATGGTGTTTGCGATTCCACCTGGGTTGAGAGTGGGTGGGAGTGGAGGGCGAGTCACTAAGTGAGAGGTGAGAGTGGGTGAGAAGTAGGGAGAACAAGTAAGAAGGACATGGAGAAGAAGAAGAAGAAGAAGGGGGAAACTTTTAGGGTGGGGAGACTAGTGATGGACGATCATTTCAGTCACGTGCACCATATGTACATTCCGTGGGGGAAGAGTGTGTATGTGTCAGGACCAGACGTTGAAAATAGTCTGCATCTATGAACTATGGCTATAGGGCCTCGCAGGGAACAAACCTAGTGATGTAGTTTATAGTCTAGTGATGTAGTGGATCGAGGAGACTATAAGTCGATGAGATCAAGTGGCAAAAGATTTGCTAAATGACGAGAAAATACATTCGACAAGGCATCTACGAAAAAGGGGTGTTTCTATATACTAAAAAGGGAGCGGAGTGATACCAAAATCTATGGAGTGAAGGTGGGAAATGATATGGGGTGTAAGAGCCAAGGAAGACGGGGATAGATGAGGGACACAGAGATGAAGGAAAAGTATAGCATGGTAAAGAACTAGCGATTAGGGATTAGGTAGGACAGGAGAACGGAGGATACCGTAGCAGGATTAGTGAAGCGGGGACGGGAACGGGTAGGTGGAGTACGACTTCTGCATATAACTCTTGAGGAACCCGTCTATAGGTACCCGTGATCCTGACAGTATGACGGGTGGGCATGGCGGTAACGGTGGAGCGGGTTAGGGGGTTATACATGGTGTTAGAGGGTGGATAGATGGGGTGAAGGGATGACAATAGTAGTGTACTCTACTAGAATATCCACACGCATCAGCATCTGATTGTGGTACAGTAAGTATGTGCAAACAGTCGGCAGTTGGAGAGCAACAGATCCGATTGATTAATCCACCATGCGTTGAGGATCATATACATGGATGTCATTGATGGATCATTCACTTTTCATACAACTAGAGTAGCCCCATTGCCATGTAGCCTCTCCATCACCATTTACTAACTTGAAATATCGAGATCGTTCAATCTTGATCATCTACTGTATCGAAATTTATCCGTGCGTCGAAGATGAGGCTATACCTTTTCCAACAATTTTGATTCTCATCTTAGTTGACAATGTATCAGACCGTTGGCTGGTCTCCTTTCTCCCTATAACAGGCAATACCTCAGTAGCGACGTCTCCATCAAGATTTGAACAATGTTGACTCCTTTTTAACCTTTTGCTATCTCTTGGTCTTAATGTCCTTGGAGCGTAGATATCTACTTCTCCAGGGATCTTGGAAACATCGATATTCTCTTCTTCCTTTTCTTCTTCACATATTTCGATGTACCCTTTCCAACCTTTCCCAGAATCAATCCGAGGGCGTTTATACGGTCTTTGTTTTGGCGATATGTTGATGGTGGCGTGAGAGGAGGAAGCTTGAAGCGATTTTGAGGAGATGATCGAAGATGTAGACCCTGTAGTAGTTCGACTGATTCCTGTTTGACGGAGATATATCAAGGGTATCTCAGGGGAAGAGCTTCTCTGTCTAGATATCTCGCCTGTGGGAAGAGGAGAATGTGGGCTATCAGGAGATGATGTTATTGTTGAAACATTATTTTCAACACAGGGATCCATTTCAACTTGGACGTCCTCCTCTTGCTCTCCCCTTTTACGATTGTCAACAATCTCCTCCTGAAAAGAACCGGTACTTTCTTCAAGTAATATATCAAGGAGAGAGTCCTGAGAGAGTTCCCTACTAGAAGCAGGACGATCCACTTCAGTGTCCTCTGTGTCGGAAATATCCGTTAACTCCATATTTACCTCTTGTGCCTCGTCCGATATTTCCTTGATGGGTTGACTCGCTCTTTGTATCTCCACAGCCGAATTCCTACCATTGCGTGGACCCTCTCTTTGTATGTTGTCAGCCAAATTCCTGGCATTGAGAGTGTTATCTGTTCGTATTCGGTCGGGCATATTAGAACCGCTAGATACTGTGGAATTTATGACCTCCGATCTGATTCTGTCAATGACGGTTGCCGGATCTGGAGCTAGAGCCGATGAGACCAAACGTCCTCTTTGATAGGTCTCACAAGAAGACATAGGGATTGGTCTTGTTGAGATATCCGACCTGACCAACCTACTGATCGGTTCTGGACGAGGGGGTAGTGAAAAGATACTCCTCACTGGTTTCTGAGCGAGCACTGGTGGACTGTTTTGCCTTCCCTCGGGTTGATCGTTCCCTGACTCTTGCGGTCCAGGAGGAAAGGTTTGAGGTAATGGAGATGATATAGGAGTGGGCGCAGCGATTTGTATGGGTGTCCGCAGAGATAACGGACGAATAAGCTTACGGGAACGTCGTAAAGGAGGTGGAGGAGATGGAGGAGGTGGAAAATGTGATATAGATGGAGGTGACGGCGGGAACGGCAGCAGTGGTGGTGGAGGTGATATAGGTGTAGGTGACGGCGAAAACGGCAGCGGTGGAGGGGGTATTGATGGTGGAGGAGGTATCGAGGTAGGAGCCATAGGTTTGTCCCTTTTGAAAGGCGAAGCGTTTGTCGATGGGGTTGGTAGGTTAAATTGAGAAACGGTCACTTTTGGTCTGTCTAATGGTTGTCCCCCCTTCTCCTGTTGATGACTTTCCTTAGCCATTCCATAGCCTTGTATCACATCGACAGCACAATCATCAACAGGTACAGGAGGCAGAGTGAGTTTCGCACGGATTCGAGGATCACGATTTCTGTCGTAGTTCGATACCGCCTGGTTTACCTGTATTTGAGGGGGGACAACGGGTTCTTGCTCACCACATGTTTTGCTTACAGTGGAAGTGATGGCTTCGTTCATGTGATGAATACTTGATGTTGTAAGCGCCGTACTACCGATAGAAGAGTTGTCCAAGTGACCAGTAACAGGCAATTCGCTTCGGTAGGCCGGATGTAACTTCGATAAAAGAAGAGATGGGTCTGACACGGACCTGGGGATAGGCTGTGGGATGGAGTCATATTCGGTTAAAGGTGGTAGGAAGTGATGTCTGATCATCAGCCAATAGTACAGGCGACTTCGAAAAGACTGTCAGGAAGATCATCAGTCAAACTCACTTTATTCTCCATCCACCCCAATTAGCTTCACTTCCAAGATAACCATGAATCGCACAATCGTAAGCCCACCTAGTATCCAAAACCAAATGATCCCTCCATTCCCCTCTTACAGCAGCAGCTAACTCATCAGGATACCAAGCGGGTAAGAGGATCAAGATATGGGTTGCGCTATAGGATGAATTAACGATTTTCGCTCCTAGAGTCTGTGGATCGATTAGCCTCTCTTCTTCTTCTTTCGCACTGACACCTATTCGATAGGAGAGTTGGGATAGGGAAGCAACCGATGAAGGATGTACTCACTTGTAACATTGACACGTAATATTTCCGAGAATCTTCCCCCCACCCAGATCTTTGTCCTGACGGAACATACACTTTATTTCCTTCAAGAACACGATCAGATTCTCTCCTCATCTCCAACCTCTCCATCATGGGATCTTTGGGTATGTCATTCAATCGGTCACGGTGAGGTTCGGCTGTTATTCTGTGTCCGGAGTGATTTCTTGAGTTCGAGGTGGTCTCTACCTCTGTGTACTTAGGCCGATGTGTACCAGTACCTTGGGTAGTCTCTGCTGTATTGACATTTGGCATATGATGTCGATACCTGCTGGTATCTACGGTGCTAACGTCCGGGCGCCTATCGTGTCGTAGATTTTCTCTATGGTAATTCGGTGTTCGTCCATCGTTCGTGTCGTGTCTGATATTGAGTCTTGGACCGTGTTGTATGGGATAGTGAGGTGTCTGAGCACCATACGCTGGCTCACGCCATCCAGGATTCGCTGTCCTCTCTCCTGGATCAGGCCTCCTCCCTCCTGATGTCCTCTCTGTCGGACCGGGTGTTCTCCCTCCCAGGCCTGGTGTCCGCCATCCCGGGTCAGGTGTTTCCCCTCCTGATGTCCTCCCCCACGGACCTGGTGTCCGCCAACCCGGACCAAAGGTTTCCCCTCCTGGCCCTGGTGTCCGCCATCCCAGACCAGGTGTCCTCCCTCCTGGTGTCCTCTCTGTCCGACCGGGTGTCCTCCCTCCGAAACCAGGTGTCCACCATCCGGGGCCAGGTGTCCCCCCTCCGAAGCCAGGTGTCCCCCCTCCGAAGCCAGGTGTCCCCCCTCCGAAGCCAGGTGTCCCCCCTCCGAAGCCAGGTGTCCTCCCCCCCGGCCCCGGTGTCCTCCACCCCGGCCCCGGTGTACCCCCTCCTGGTGTCCTCCCTCCCAGGCCAGGTGTCCTCCATCCCGGCGTCCGCCCTCCAGTAACACCATATCCACCATTAAAAGCTTGCCTCGATTGTCCATACTCGTACCGCACGTCGACCCATTCTCTCGGCGGATTGATCGTGTCGTTCTTTATCCCCATCATGTATCTCTGTCTCCATGAAGACTGGTCACTTCTTCCAATGGCCATCTTGATGAGTCGACTACTGCTATTAGCAGATGTACATACCATGTTGGAGAGAAAGGCTTACGTGATCGATACTGATGAGAAGCAAGTAAGGACCCGGGTATCTATTCTCTTATTTACGTTCCCTGATTTCGACGATGGTCATGAAGGCGAGTAGCAGCGATCACGTTTTTGTTATGTGTGTGGGAGTGAAAGTATTGAGAATATGATAGGGATATACAGTAGCTTGTGGTTCTTGACGCGTAAATTCTGAGTCGTTCATGCAAGCTAGGGGTGGGTGTGGGGGGTAAGACTGTGTGGTCAGTGAGTGACATTCGGTCGCTTGGGCAATAATTGCTCACGGTTGAGAGTTATAGGATACTCGGATGGTGAGTCGTTATAAAGGCTAAAAGAATGGAAAGTAAGGAAATGGGGTCGAGATGGACAGAGACGGGAGAGAAAGAGGTGTGGGAGGACGATGAGAACAGTGTCGATAATGTCAGGTTTGGTGTGGTGCGTCTTATTCCACTCAAGTGAAGTTAAGAGGGGAGATTAGTAAAAAGTGGGACGTGAAAAGTGGTGATAATTTAGTCAGAAGTGTAAAAAAATTCAAGAAGAGAAGTAAGAAATTCCCTAGGGTGGAAAGGGGATCATTTTGATGGTTTCGTAAACTTTTAGGGGACGGGGGAAGATCGTTTTTCACTAATTCATTCAGGCACGTGCACCATGCATTCGGTGGGGGAAGAGTAGTTGTATACGGCGGGTGGGGCTGGGGTTGGGGGTATGGGGATAGGGTCGTTCACAGGGTGTTGGGAGGTGGATAGATGGGGTGAAAGAGAAGGACGAGGGTGGAGAAGGGGACGGTAGTTACACCGATGAGCGGAGCAGAAGTGACGGGGATGCGGAGAAAGTAGCTATGATATCTACGATTCCTGATAATCTTTCGTAAAGTCAATTCCCTGTTCATCAGCTCGGTCTCTGTCTCTATCTCATCACTTTGACGTGAATTTCTATTGTACTCGTCGTACTCGTACTCGTAATCGTACTCAACGTAACCTGGAGGAAACATGACGACCAACATCACACCTTCACTCACATGTTCAATCATATGGGTATTAGTAATCTTCAAAGCTCTCCCATTCTTTTTCTTCTTCTTCTTCCCATCTCTCCTCTCTTCATCTTTCTTATCTTTAACAACCATATCTTCCCTTCCTACTCTCCCCACTTCAGCATCTTCTAACAATTTACCAACATCATCTTTCTCACCAATCTCTACTTCATCCCAAGCCCAAATAACTTCATCGACGACTCTTTTCCCCGTTTTACCTCTTTCTTTTAATTCATCCCACCATACGCATCTCCATCTATCAGGTCTTCCATCTGTTATTTTCAAACCGTAGACATTCGGACGACCAAGACGAGGTAAAGGTGCATCTCTAAATTCTTGTGCACCTAAAGAACGCATGATCAAGATTTCTCCACGGGTTTCCATTTCGGTCAATGGGTTAAGGGAAAAGGATGATGGTTGAGTTGCTTCTCGTAATAAACGCAGTGAAACGGGTGAGAGGGGTTGTGAATGTGTTCGGATGTATGTTCGGAGTTGAGTCAAGTTGGTTATTTCAAGATCGCGCTGGGATCAACACGGATCCTGGTGAGTGAATTACTTAGCTGGGCTGGGACAGAAAGGACGAGTGGGGGAGGGGAGGGGTGGGGGGGAAGGGAGAGAGGTTTGTTGCTCACTTTATACGACATGGACCCATTAACCGAATTGACCTCAATTTTATCTAATTGTCGGATTCTTTCTAAAACGTCATTAGGATCAAGAGTAGGATAATCCTGTTGGATTCTGAAGAAAGCGTCATGTTGAGAGATTGTGCCTAGTTTCTGGGTATCAGAGGGATCATCAGTAATAGCTGATAAGTCCAATATTCACTCTTCGGGGAAATATCCCCGATGGTAAGACCATCGTTCACACTGAAGTCATGTCCAACGGAAGGAATGATACCTCACTCGAATAGCGTGTGAATGGACGAAGAATGATATACGCTGAGAAGAGTGTTATGGAAGATATGATCCATGCATACCTTGATTTGCTCCTGTAATACCAATGCTGCAGCTCTCGGATCGGCCAGAGGTGTTTGGTGAGATCTATCAGGTTTATCTAGATCCATAAGTCTTCAAAAAAAATATCGCTCGGAGGGATACACTTGACTCACGTTCCAATTTCACAGGAACCGTCCCGGCTCTGTTGGGAATGGTGTTTGGGTAAGGAGCGGGTGATACGGACGTCTTACTTCCTCCTACTAATTTCCGTTTAGATGGAGGGTTCATATTGGTCCTAAAGTATGATACCCCCCTAGACCTTTTTCCCAACTGATCGTTTGATAGGCTCGACCTCCCGATGTGCCGCTGGATTAGTCAAACCCTCCCCGAGTCTACAACTTCTAGGTATGTTATTGAGGCAGCGGGTCGGATGTTTCCTCGTCTGGGTGAACTGCTGGATATATCGAGTCACTTCACCGTCTTGTCAGAACGAAGTGGTCGGAAGTTGATTAGGTGACAGCTCGTTTGAGGATTTCACTTATGACCATCTCGCGCTTGAGGTTGTACTGGGTGTTCAAGATGGGAAATGTCCTGTGTTATGATATCGCTCGATGATAGAGATCTGACAAGTGGTGAATGAGAGATACATGGAGGTAAGCTTAAGTAGGTGAACGGTGGCGAAGAAGGGAGGGAATGTCAGGTAGGGTGATAATGGTGGAGCAGGGTGTCAGGCTGAGCAACGCTGACAATGCCACGTGTGCCCCTTACCCTCTACCTGACATTCAGCGTCATCGCCCCCTGTCCCTCCCCTCCATTCCGACCACCCCACCTAAACTTCCTTCTACTTCACCACACATCTACTATATCTCAATAACCTGATCTCTCACTAATCCCTCACCTGACAGCTGAGAGTTAGGTGAATACTTCGACCAGCTCAATAGGCTAGAACAGGTTCAATCACAGTCAAGGCCCGAACCAGTCAGAAGAAACGGTAGATCTCACTTGGTGACGATACTCAAGTGATACCACACACGATGAACAGGCAACCTCCATTGGTCATTGATAATGGAACGGGGTATACTAAAATGGGGTTAGTCTTTTCTTCATCCCACCTCCACTGTCTCTTATTCATAACCCTACACCCTCCAATCACTATGACCTCATCAACCCCTTCACTCGACATTTGAGCCATGTAACCAATCCAACATTCTCCCAAAACCTTTACATCTCCCTCTTTCTCACTGACACCTCATCTGACGTTCAAAATCCCGCATCCTAGTATGGAATCAGCACTGACAGTCTGGTTTATTAACAAATCCGACCTTACCTGACAAACAGATTCGCAGGGAATTCCGAACCTTCTTTCGTTTTCCCAACCGTCATAGCGACCCATCAATCTTCTTCATCAGGTCCTACGACACAATCGACAGGTGGAAGAGCACCTCCTCCTGTAGCTGGTAAACCTGGTCATTTGGCGAGTAAGAGAGGTATAGAAGATTTAGATTTTTATATTGGTGATGAGGCTGTTGCTAACTCAAAGATCG